ATGGCAATTGCGTAAGGTTTTACAACAAACTGACAGAGTCTGTTCTAAATGTGCCTGAAAAAAGATTCGAACAAAATTCTTTCTTTATAAAAATGCATATTATAAAATTGAAGAGTTTGTAAAGGATTATAATGTTTTAGTAGAAAAATCTTACAATTCATGGCGCTGACAATATTATCTGATTGCACTAAGAATGAGTGCGTAGCGATTTCTATGTTGATTATCGCATGCCTCTTACTTGTTATTGCGTAATTATTTATTTCATATGGCATCTATTCAAAAGAACAGCACACAAGTTTCTTTCTCATTCTTCTTGTGATGAGTGTTCCAAATGATTGGTAGAATAAAAAATATATGACTATTCAAAGTGCTTGTATTGAGTTTATTTGAATAAAGATTATTTCTATTTCTATATTGATAAGCTGAAGAGTCAATGTTCGAACATCAGTACCTATCTAAATATCTAATATATACTCGTATTATATATAACCCAAAGGTTGACTGACTGACAAAGTGATCTATCAACGCACAGCCCAAACCACTAGACGGATCGGGCTGAAATTTGACATGCAGGATGTTATGACATAGATGTTATGACGTAGGCAACCGTTAAGAAAGGATTTTGATTAATTCTACCCCCAACGGGATAAAATAGGGGATGAAAGTTTGTATGAAACCTGATCAATTTTAAACCGATCGGGCTGAGACTTTGCCTGCTTAAAGCTACTATGACGTAGGCGCCCCCTAAGGAAGGATTTTGATAATTTCTACCCCTAAGGGGATAAATAAACGCGAGCAAAGCCGCGGGCAAAAGCTAGTTACTAATAATCCCCACCTTCAGCTGTAATGCATGTGTAAGCGTCAACATATTACGTTAAAGAAGTTGCAAGTAAGATTCCACTAGTTCGGTTAACTTTCGCGCTTTAACACAAACAGGTTTAACACTAGCTCGAAATTAAAGTGATACGTTTACGCAAAACGTATTCCAATTATATGTAATAAAAACTAAACTATGCACTATATAATTTATTGCAAAATATATTGCTACAACAACTTTCTATCGATATAAATGTTTGCTAATTTTGACCTTTATGATTATGGTGATACGAGGCTTAACGGCTACTTGGCTTAACTTTAGCATCGCCCACATTTTTTATATGGCAACCTTCATTATGTCACCTGGCTACTGTGATTAATCTCTTAATTATTTTATAGACATTGATCTTTCAACAAATAATAAAGTTGTAAGATATAGAAATAGAAATAATCTTTATTCAAATAAACTTATTATAAATAAAAATTGACGACCTCGGTGGTCTAGCGGTCTAGTACACCGCTTTATGTCCGATGGTCGCGGGTTCGATTCCTCGCACGGCACAAACATTTGTATTCATGAGTATGATTGTTTGTATCGGTCTGGGTATTTTCTATGTGTAATATGTATGTATTTACGAAAAAAAAATTATCTATGTATTTGTATCAGTTGTCTAGTACCCATAACACAAGCTTTAGCTAGCTTAACTTGGGTCTAGATGGCGCTGTGTGAATTGTCCTGAGATTATTATTATTATTATAAGTACTCCAGAATAGTCATATTTTTTATTCTGCCACTCATTCGCAACGCAGACTCATCACTAGAAGAATGAAGAAGAAACTTGCGTATTACTCTCTGGTAATATTCCCTTTGCCTTTACTATTGGATGAATGCATCTAAAAAAAAAACGAAATGCCTTAGAGTGCAGTATTGTGCTAGCAACAATATATATTTTTTATTAATCTGTGTAACTTTTTATTTACCACAGTATATTCGTAAACTTTTTTAGCACAGATTAATGTTTAAGATTTTGTCTGCATATTGCAATGCAATTTTATGTGATATTTATTTTACTTTTTTAATCATTACATGTTGTTGCATCGATTCAATATTTTGTTGGCGCTGTCAACTCTTATAAAACTTAATGTCAATTTCTCTATGGTAGTGTGGTCTTATTACATGTATTCCCTGTAATATACATACTGACTGTAATGTCTACTAACATTTTCTTTTCGTTCTGTTCGTAAAACTTGTAAGTGTGCTGTGGAAATGGCCTGCAACTTACTTGCAATGTCTGTGAATGATAAATGCTTATTGTAATAAATGCTTTAATAATGTATTATTAATATAACAACAATGTATTAATACCTATAATATGCTATGATTAACGAGTGATACAACAGCCTCATTCGAAGCTCTGCTATTATCACATAACACGATCGACCTTGTACAGAACTCATTGTATTGTACAGCAATTAATTTAATAAACAATGTTTAGGAGATTATTAATGAAATTATACGCTTATCCACTACAATCGATGACCCTACCTCATGATTCTCGAATTGATGGTATGACCTACTCTGGTAACTCGAATTGATGTCGTTTTTAAATGCCAATGAGGGGTGAAATAAATAATCTTGTGAAAATAAATTTAAATAAATTTACAATTTTAGTAATAGGGTCACCCTGTTATAATTTTGAACGCTTTTGGAATGGAACAGGGTATCCAATAAAGGCAATGACAACACTATGATAACACTTATCAGCGTATAAAATCACGGCAGTATTTTCGCGTAGTGCAAACCGAAACTTAAATAACATATAATATTATTGATGAAAATCAAATCAAAATATCTATATTCATTCAGGTGTATTAGACACTCTTATGACACGTCAAATTTGCTTTCGAGCTAAGAAGTACTTACAAGAGACTCAGCTCTCGTCCTTTTCAAACGAGCTTGTATATGGCTACATTAATACTGATGCATTTTTAAAATGTAGTGACTACCATATGCTACCCCATTAGCATATGCTACCCCTTTAGCATATGCTACCCCTTTAGCAGAAAGAAATAAATAGTCACAATATACCTACTAGAACACTTGTTACAAGAAACTCAGCTCTATTCATTACAAACAAGCTTGTAATGATTACAAAATATAGATTCATTTTTAAATTAAATTTTAGAGAATGTAGTGACTACCAGCATATGCTAACCCATTAGCAGAAGGGAATAAATTCAAGAAAATTCAGTGGCCGTGGAGTCACAATATACTAGAACAGGTTATAAAAAACTCAGCTCTATTCTTTACAAACAAGCTTATAATGATTATAAAATATAGATTCATTTTTAAATTAAATTTTAGAGAATGTAGTGACTACCAGCATATGCTAACCCATTAGCAGAAGGAAATAAATTCAAGAAAATTCAGTGGCCGTGGAGTCACAATATACTAGAACATAGCTTATAAGAAACTCAGCTCTATTCTTTACAAACAAGCTTATAATGATTACAAAATATAGATTCATTTTTAAATTAAATTGCGGAGAATGTAGTAACTAGCAGTGGTCGTGAAATCACAATATATCTACTAGAACACAGGTTACAAGAAACTCAGCTCTATTCTCTACAAACAAGCTTGTACATGATTAAAAAAATACAGATTCATTTTTAAATTAAATTGCGGAGAATGTAGTAACTAGTATAATTACCAACATATGCTAAATTCAAGAACAATTCAGTGTTCTGTCACAATATATCTACTAGAACACAGGTTACAAGAAACTCAGCTCTATTCTCTACAAACAAGCTTGTAAATGATTACCAAAATACAGATTCATTTTTAAATTAAATTGCAGAGAATATAGAGAACTCTAGCATATGATATTCCACTGCTTTAACAAAAGGAAATTAATTTAAGAAAAAGTCACAATATACTAGAAACTCAGAAACAGCTTACAAGAAACTCAGCTGTTATTATTTCCAAAACTATTTGTGATAAGCGGGTCACGTGACCCTGTCAAATTGCACTTAACTAACGATCTTATCTCGTTAAACTCACTGTAAATTCATCAATACATAATCGTGTTACAATAGTAATGAGGGGCCGATTTATGACTTAATCCATCTATACATACAAATAAAATTGGAGTGTCTGTTTGTAATATAGAAATAACCGCTTTTCACTACATGCATATGAATATAAATACGGTACATATACCAAAATAATATTTTCTACTATCTTTGTCCGTCTGTCTGTTTTTTCCGGCTAATCTCTGAAATGGCTGGACCGATATTGACGGGACTCTTTATGGCAGGTAGCTGATGTAATAAGGAGTAACTTAGGCTACTTTTATTTTAGAAAAATAAAGTTAAATTTCACGCGGACGTATACGCGGGTACAGCTAGTATATAATACGCAGATAATACGCCTTAGGCTGAATTGCGTGTGCGCACTGTATCATTACCAGGCCTTCAAGTGACACTATCTTAATTGGGTAATTGTTACGTGCCAGTGGTCAGTTGAAATGCCCTGGAAGGTCCTGAGATGTCATGGTCACCATCCGTGAACCATTGAGGTGTTATGAATTTGAATTAATAGAGAAGACTTTTTTTTATTTAAGCTAGCAAGCTTTTGCAAGACGACTTACTAATGTCAAATGGTAATCGTCGTCAACTAAAACACCCCAGACCGTTACAAACAATCATACTCATGAATAAAAAATATTTTCTATCCGAGGAATCGAACCCACGACCACCGGAAGTAAAGCGGTGTGCTAAACTGCCAGACCACCAAAGCCGTCAAAAATAGTAAACGAATCAACTAATTGTTGAACTATAATCCCACTACTGGGCATGAGTGTCTTATAATTTAGATTTAGCCCTTCTTTTCGGACTATTCTATTGCTGTTGTATGCAGCTGCCTTTACAGCTTCGCCGTACGATAAGGAGCGAGTGCAGATGGCACTCCCAACAAAAGGAAGGACTTATGGAGCCGCTGAAGGCCAACTCCTGTCTGACGGGTGCGACTTTAGTCTGAGGGCGCCACTAGGGGTTCGAACCTCGGCTTAAGCCGTCGTAATTTCGATAACCGTTTGAATTGGACGGGGATTCGATCGGATGCATGAAGTAATGAAATGAACTTCTGTAAAATAACACCTATTTGTATGGCAATACGGTTGTTACAGATGGCGATAACCTGCGACTGTCCAATGTCGCAGCCGGGGCCGACGCTGGCTGCGACCTGCGGCGGCGGCGCCTTCATGCTGTTCATGGGGCTCCTGGAGGTATTCCTCAGGAGTCAGTGCGATTTGGAAGACCCATGTGGTAGAGCTCAGGTAAGATATTACGTTATGATTGTCTTGTATTTTTTTTACGGACTAATGCTGTTGGCCGCAGCTGGCCTTTACAGCTTCACCGGACGATACGGGACGGGGGCAAGTGCAGATGGCACTCCAAACCCGCGGAAGGACTTATGGAGCGAAGTTCAACTCCTGGCTAATTGATACGATTTTAGCCTGAGGGCACCGCATTTATCACATTTAGCTCAATTAGCACACAATAACTAATTTTACTTACAAATACTTTGATGAAAAATAAAAATCTGTAACTCCAACTGCATTTTGTCCTCGCGAAGATAAAACTGAAACTCAAAGTTTTTAGCTATCTCACTAATTTTTTTTTCTTTTTATTTATTTAGAAGCTTAGCACAATAGTGAGCATGTTAGCTCCGTGTTGACTTCTTAATCAATTACATAACATCTAAACTTTAAATTACTACAAAGACAAATCTTTCCTACATTTATCTACAAATTTATAAATTAATACCGATTGTTCTGATAAAATACTCTGAAAGATTCCTAAATTAATTTTGTATAAATTTTTTTTTCAGTATTATTTTCCTTTCAGTGTTATCTTGACGCATTCCATCAACAAATGTTGAACATCATCAATACCACCACGAGTTTGACAATTGGTGGAGTCTACTCTTTTCATCAGAAATCCAAATTTGTTTGATGGAATGTGTCCTGAACGCGATCTAAGTGCTATGACTACTTACGACTAAGGTTAATGTTTTGGAATCATGGGATACGAGGGGGTTCACTTTGCATAGTTCTGTACCATATGCCCTTTTCGGTTAATCTTTTATTAAAATATTCTCGCCGCATATCATCTCACTAATTAAGGAGCAAAACTCTGATTTTGAGCAAGCAAGATTCATTTTGTATTGCTGAACGCAAGTGTTGATCTACCCATATTCTATAGTATAGGTATATGTACAAATATCTATAATGTAATGTACGTGTAATATGACTATGTAATTATATATATATATATGTGTACTAAAATAAAAAGCAATTATCTATTTATGTAATTAAAAGTAATTATCTAATTACCGTAGTTCATCATTCTGAAGGATTCATCTATAACTAACGATAAAGTACTTATTTTGAATAGAATTTGCGTGTATGTATCGCAATTTTACCGATCTACTGCGCGATTACACAAATTCATTCTTCATTCATTCATAATTTAAGAGCTACGCTCTTGTCGGTGGAGCTCTCGCCACTTTCCGCGATCTTCCATCATGCTCTTTAATTCTTGATACGACACGACTCCCATTTTGTCCTCAGTTTGTTTGATGTAGCTATTCCTTGGTCTTCCCCTCCCCCTCTTTCCTTCTATTTTACCCTCAATAATAATTTTCATGAAATCATCGTGCCGTATCAAGTGTCCTAACATTTTTCCTCGTCTATTTTCTATTGTGTTCAATATCTGCCTTTTTTCTTTTACCCTGTGTAGTACTTCTGCGCCCTACTGTCGAAATGAATCTAACATACATTACCAAAATAACAACTTATTTTTCTATACATAACATTATTATTATATAGTTATACTAGCTGTCCCGGAAAAAGCTGTTTTGCCTTAAAATAAAAAAAAAATTGGGGGTGGACTACCCCTAACATTTAAGGGGATGAAAAATAGATGTTGGCCGATTCTCAGACCTACTCAATACGCTCACAAAATTTCATGAGAATCGGTTAAGCCGTTTCGGAGGAGTATGGGAACGAAAACTGTGACACGAGAATTTTATATATAAGATAATTCATCTCCACACGCTGGAACCTAAGTCCGAGGTTTTCTCACGAGACTACAGCATGGGGTTTTTCAAGAATGGTATATTAAGGTTTCTCAAGCTCAGCAACGCGCACGGGACACCCCTGGTGTTTCAGACGTCCATAGGCTACGGTAATCTATTTACCATCAGATGGGCCGTATGCCTGTTTGCCATCATCGAAGTATAAAAAAACATATTAACAATAAAAAAAATGCGCTATATAGACCAGACCTTATGATTTCATGATAACGAGTTAGTCCAAAGTTCTCAGGGCATTCTCAGGTTGAAAGCGAGGTCGTGTCCCCATAAGGTTTGCAATCACGATTGCGGTGCATTCATCAGTCATTACTGATGGAAATTATCAGCGAAATCTTAAACTGTTGATACGTTTGCGGTCGACATGAACATCACGAAATGTGAATGACCAATAAAATTAAGTGAAAACGGTTTATTCAGTTATAAAAAATGGTTCAAATGATTATGTGAATTAAAAAACAGACTGATTTTTATTGTTTATTATTGAGTTATTATAAGGGTAGTCCACCCTAATTTTTTTTTAATTTTTTAGGATTTAGCGTAATAAATACATATTATACATATATTAACATATTATATATAGGATCGTATACCCTAAATTTTGGCCCTTTAACCATCAAACCCTATTTTTTAATAATGTTATAATATTAGTTATAATATAAGGTCAGTTACTAAAAAAAATTGAAAATAATCTTTATTTAATTGCTTTAAAATTCCACACTGGAGTTTTAAAGTTTACGGTGTATTGTTACAATTTTCTATCTGGTGGACCAGCTTCTTTCCTGTAACAGAATATATAATATACATATATATACTTGTATATACCGGCGTCCACATGGACGGTGGTTGTGTTTACAGTCTACTGTTACAATTTTCAGTTATAAAATATGGTTCAAATGATTATGTGAATTAAAAACAGAATGATTATTATTATTTATTATTGAGTTATTGTAATATCTGTAAATCATTATAATAAATTATCATTAATTTTTATAGTAATAAGTAGCAAAGGTTGTTTTGCCATATAAATTAATATCGCAATTAAAAAATAGGGGTTGATGGTAGAAGGGTGAAAATTTAGGAGTAACATCATAAAAATTGTATATTAAAAACAAAAAAAATTTGGGCAGTCCACCCTTATCACTTGGGGCATACATATTAGATAACAACCTATTCTCATTACTACTGAATATACACATAATTTCATCAAAATTGGTATAATATTTCTATAACTTGTTTTCTATCCACAACACAAGCTCTAATATGCTTACGGCTGACCTGATGGCAAGTAACTACACTGCAACACCAGATGATTTGAAAGGGCGTCGGCTTTTAAATTATGAATAAGCTCTTTCCTTGAAGATTTCAAAATCGTATCGGTTCGGAAATACCATTGCTGGAAGGTGATTCCACAATGTAGTTGTGCGTGGTATATGTAGAGTTTCTAGAAAACCGCACTGTGGAGGACTACCATTCATCCAGATGATCAGGATGGCATCTTTGTTTTTGTATATATTTATACACACACACTGCACTTACTTGGTTTCAACCCGTAAATGTCGTAAAAAAATAACAAAAGCTGAATTATACAGCAACGATAATAATAATAATCTCAGGACAATTCACACAGCGCCATCTGGATCCAAGTTAGCTATAGCTTGTGTATACACATAACAAAGTGTACTAGATAACTGATACAAATACAAAAATATATATATTTTGTAAGTACATACATATTATACATAGAAAACATCCAGATCGATACAAACAATCATACTCATGTTTGTGTCGTGCGAGGGATTGAACCCGCGACCATCGGAAATAAGGCGGTGTGCTAGACCACCGAGGCCGTCAGATGCAATAATATGCAGAAATTAAATAAGTACATAGATAATGCTAGTTATTACAGATAGTAAAAAGTTAGAAAATCTCGAACAATGCCACGTACCTTCACATCCTGGTAATGATAGTCATTGTGCCGGTGGATTTCTCTCCAGGAAGTGATGACGATGATCTTGCATGTCTGCCATAAACGTTGTTGATTGAGCGCCGATATGCATAAGAACATCACGCATAACAAACTGCGCCCGCTTTGTACGCGCTGTATGCGAAATCACAATATAAATAATAGAAAACAATATATCTGAATAAGATATATTAGACATACATATTTACATACTACACATATATATTTATTTATGTATCGTATGTAAATATGTATTATTAATAATAATAATAATATCTCAAGACAATTCACACAGCGCCATCTAGTCCTAAGCTAAGCAGAGCTTGTGTTATGTGTACTAGACAACTGATATAAATACATGGATTGATTTTTTTTGTAAATAAATACATATTATACATAGAAAACACCCAGACCGCTACAAACAATCATACTCATGAATACAAATGTTTGCACCGTGCGAGGAATCGAACCCGCGACCATCGGATAGTAAAGCGGTATGCTAAACCACTAGACCACTGAGGCTGTCATATTACTGTAAAGTTACTAAGTAAATGTTTGTAAACTATAATGCACCGCTTACTAACTTCTCAGTTTGCCTTATGGTTGAGAACACCCTTAGGTGTTAAGTTCGCATTAAAGTTTAAATATATATATTTAGATAATTTTTTTTAGTAATCATAACACAAGCTCAGCTTAGCTTGGGACTAGATGGCGCTGTGTAAATTGTCCGAGGTTATTACTAGATTAAAACATTGAGACATTTCAAAAATTTTTTCGTACCTCATATCTAATGCACGATCAGAGAATAGGACGTAAACTATTTTTCATATCCCTAAGTGATATACCCTTATCACTTAGGGATATGAAAAATAGTCCACCCTAATTTTTTTTTTAATTTTTTAGGATTGAGCCTAATAAATACATATTAAATTCAAATTCAAAAATCATTTATTCATGTAGGACATTTTAGCCGCTTATGAACGTCAAGTGTTTACATTATAATTTTTTTCCCTACCGTTAACCGTAATATACATATATTAACATATTATATATAGGATTGTATAGCCTAAACTTTGGCCCTTTAACCATCAAACCCTATTTTTTAATAATGTTATAGTATTAGTACCCAAGAAGTCACAAGTTTGCGCGTTTACCGCTAAAAAGAATCTATTTATCGTATCTCCTGAGTTTCAAGACACTCTCCTTGATGTGAAGCCAAATCCCGAGGTCCTTGGCGTTGATATATCCAGTGACGTTCAGTTTTGCGGTCATTTGGAGGACAAGGCTAAAATAGCCTCAAAAAAGCTTGGTGTGCTCAGTAGAGTGAGACGGTATTTCACGGCGGCCCATCGCTTGCAATTATACAAGGCGCAGATCCGGCCGCATATGGAATACTGTTCTCATCTCTGGGCGGGAGTACCACAATACCAGCTACTTCCATTTGACCGCATTCAGAACCGAGCAGCCAGAATCATTGGTAATCAACGTCTATGTGACAGACTCGACCCATTGGCTTTGCGGCGAGATATTGCATCTCTGTGCATTTTCTACCGCATATATCACGGGGAATGTTCTGAGGAATTGTTCGGATTAATACCAGCTGCTGAGTTTCAACACCGTACCACCCGCCAGAAACTGAAATACCATCCTGATCATCTGGATGAATGGCGGTCTTCCACAGTACGGTTTTCTAGAAACTTCTTGCCCCGCACAACCACACTGTGAAATCACCTTCCAGCAATGGTATTTCCGAACCGATACGATATTGAAACCTTCAAGAAAAGAGCTTATTCCTTTTTAAAAGGCCGACAACGTACTTGCAATTCCCCTGGTGTTGCGGGTGCTCATGGGCGGCGGTAAACACTTACCATCAGGTGAGCCGCATGCTCGTTTGTCCCCTGTGTTATAAAAAAAAAACTATTATGTAATAATTTTGTACCCTCGGTGGTCAAGAAATGACAAATAAAAATATTTGCAGCCCAACAGGAAAGGTCAGTTAGTAAAAAAAATTGAAAATAAACTTTATTTAATTGCTTTAAAATTCCACACTGGAGTTTTAAAGTTTACGGTGTATTGTTACAATTTTCCATCTGGTGGACCAGCTTCTTTCCTGTAGCCAAATATATAATGTACATATATATACTCGTATATAGCGGCGTCCACATAGACGGTGGTTTTGTCTACAGTCTACTGTTACATTTTTCCGTCTGGTGGTCAAAGTTAAAATTTCCATCTGATGAACCCTGTTAAAATATTCTATCTGGTGGATCAGCTTCTTTCCTTACAAAATGTATGATATATTTCCAGTACCGGCGTCACATGGACTCCGTGTATGACTTCATAGTTGTGGGAGGAGGCTCCGCGGGGTCTGTGGTCGCAGCGAGACTCTCCGAGGTTCCTGAATGGAGAGTCTTATTGCTCGAAGCAGGTAATCATTTATTTGTAATTTTGTAATTCAACCATAATAAAAAATACAAAAACATCTTTGAACCAGCAATAACAATTAAACAAATGATTATATATGCGTGTGTAATGTTTTTATTGTGTTTTTACAATAATAACCCAAGACAATTCATACAGCGCCATCTAGTCCCAAAGTAAGCAGAGCTTGTATAGTACACAACTGATATAAAGAGTTTAAATTTCTTTGTAAAAATATACATAACGTAACATCGAAAACATCCAAGGCAAATAAACATAAAACATTGCTTCGTAAGAAGAATCGAACCCGCGACCAACGAAAGTAAAGAGGTGTGCTAAACTGCTAAACCAACGAGGCAAACATTCTCATTATATCTTACAGGTTTTGATGAGCCTACCGGTGCACAAGTACCATCCATGTTCCTAAACTTCATTGGGTCCAGTATCGACTGGGGATACACCACTGAATCGGAGCCGGCCGCCTGCCTGGGAGAGACGGACAGAAAGTGCTACTGGCCTAGAGGAAAAGTAAGATGTTTTACACACAAGATTCAAAATATCTTTATTCATGTAGGTCTATTACAACGAACGATGAATTGTATGTGTTTTTGGACAATTGCGATATTCAAAGTTGCAATAAAAACGAGGTTGCTGGTCCTAAAAATACGTACGTAAAGTGTAGGCACAAGGATTTCACGATCTCTACTACACTTGGTGTTTAATTTTGTCATTAATTACCGTTATCTACCAAGGTGAGAATTACTTCATTAGCATAGCATGTTAACAGCGACTCTGTCCAAAAAAATATTATGTTTTTTATTAAAATAATTTAAATATATATATATAATAATAATATTAATTCTAATATACATGTAGCCTAAGTTACTCTTATAACATTAGCTGCAAATAGCTGAGTGAAAGGGTCGTCAAAGTCCTTTTATTAAAATAAAAATATACATTCTAATATAAATGTAGCCTAAGTATAAAAAAAAATATTATAAAATTAGCTGTAGATAGCTGAGTGAAAGTCCCGTCAAAATTGATCCAGCCGTTTCTGTGATTAGCAAGAACAAACAGACAGACAAAAAAATCTGTAGTGACGTTTCCTCTTCTGCGTGGTAAAATCTGCAGATTGTTTAGACTATGGATACCGTTTACCATCAGATGTGCCGTATGCTTGTTTACCGCCATCGTTAAAAAAACAATATTTTAACCACTTGCAGGTGCTAGGCGGTACATCAGTAATGAATGGAATGATGTACATCCGAGGGTCCAGGAAGGACTACGACGGCTGGGCAGCAGCTGGAAACGAAGGCTGGTCATACGAAGAGGTTCTTCCATACTTCCTCAAGTCGGAAGATAACAAACAAGTGGAAGAGATGGACAAGGGCTACCATTCTACCGGTGGACCGCTGACAGTGTCACAGTTTCCTTATCATCCCCCATTGAGTTCCAGCATTGTGAAGGCTGGTGAAGAATTGGGTGAGTAGAATTTACAGTATGTTAGTATATTTATAGTTACAGTAATGGAATAGAATAGATTTTTTTTTATTCGAATAAGCATAAATCAGCTAAACATTTAATTACTAAAATTTAATCTTACTTTAATAATAAAAACGAAAGGTCTGAAGTGATTTTAGATTGTAGATTTTCTTTATCGTACCAATTGTACTTGGTCTAAATATTCTGTTATGTATGTAGTTGTGTACAATATCTTCTAAATATATATAACTTAAAGGTGACTGACATAGTGATCTATCAACGCACAGCCCAAACCACTGGACGGATCGAGCTGAAATTTGGCATGCAGGCAGATGTTATGACGTAGGCATCCGCTAAGAAAGGATTTTGATTAATTCAATCCCCAAGGGGATAAAATAGGGGATGAAAGTTTGTACGAAACTTTGTCAATTTTAAACCGATCGGGCTGAGACTTTACCTGCATAAAGCTACTATGACGTAGGCATCCCCTAAGAAAGGATTTTGATAAATTCCACCCCTGAGGGCATAAAGTAACACGAACAAAGCCGCGGGCAAAAGCTAGTTTAGAATAGAATAGAATAGCATAGAAAATCCTTTATTCAAGTAAACTTAAATTAAAGAACTTCTGAATAACCATACTTATACTGAACTGAAGTGAAGCGATGTGATAAACTGCTGACCACTGAGTCCATCAAGATGTCACGAATCTGATTAATATTATAAACGCGAAAGTTTGTGACTATGCACGGATAGATGAATGGATGTTTGCTTGTCTTTCTACTGTATTGATTCTAATGAAACTTTACAATAATATAGCTGTTGCATCAGAATGATCTCATTCTGATGCAACAGTCATCATTACATAGTATATTACGGTAGATTAAAAAAAATGTAATGACTATTCAAAAGTGCTTCAATGTAAGTTTATTTGAATAAATGATTTTCTATTCTATTCTATTCTATAAAACAAAGTCGCTTTCGCTGTCTGTCCGTCCCTATATATGCTTAAGTCTTTAATTAAAATTTACGTTACCCGTAACGCCTTGACCGATGTTGATAAAATTTTATATACTTATTATATTCAGTAGGTCTGAGAATAGGTTTATAACTAACTTTTATACCACTAAGTATTGAAGGTGGCTAACCTCAAAATTTTGTTTTTCAAGTTTTCGACAAAATTATTTATTTTTATTTTTTTTATCATGTGACATTAGAAATACCTACAGCATTCTACCATCATTTTTTAAATAGCAATATTTATTTATTACCTAAAACAACGGGCACAACTAGTAGGTTATAAATTTCTTGCTGGTGAAAATTCGAAACTTTCTTCTCAGGGTACCAAGCAATAGATCTTAATGGTGAACACCACACTGGCTTCGCCATCGCTCAGACCACGAACCGTAATGGCTCCAGGCTGAGCGTCGCCCGCGCCTTCCTACGACCAGCCAAGAGAGAGAGAGAGAGAGAGAGAGAGAGAGAGAGAGAGAGAGAGAGAGAGAGAGAGAGAGAGAGAGAGAGAGAGAGAGAGAGAGAGAGAGAGAGAGAGAGAGAGAGGGGGGGGGGGGGGGAGAGAGAGAGAGAGAGGGGGGGGAGGGGGGGAGGGAGAGAGGGAGAGAGAGAGAGAGAGAGAGAGAGAGAGAGAGAGAGAGAGAGAGAGAGGGGGGGGGGAGAAAGAGAGAGAGGGAGAGAGAGAGAGAGAGAGAGAGAGAGAGAGAGAGAGAGAGAGAGAGAGAGAGAGAGAAGGAGAGAAGGAGAGAGAGAGAGAGAGAGAGAGAGAGAGAGAGAGAGAGAGAGAGAGAGAGAGAGAGAGAGAGAGAGAGAGAGAGAGAGAGAGAGAGAGAGAGAGAGAGAGAGAGAGAGAGAGAGAGAGAGAGAGAGAGAGAGAGAGAGAGAGAGAGAGAGAGAGAGAGAGAGAGAGAGAGAGAGAGAGAGAGAGAGAGAGAGAGAGAGAGAGAGAGAGAGAGAGAGAGAGAGAGAGAGAGAGAGAGAGAGAGAGAGAGAGAGAGAGAGAGAGAGAGAGAGAGAGAGAGAGAGAGAGAGAGAGAGAAGGCACAGACCCAACTTGCACATCATGCTGAACGCCACCGTCACCAAGGTCCTCATCAACCAGACCACCAGGCAGGCATACGCTGTCGAAGTGAGAAACAGCTTTGGAGGAACCGAAGTTATTTTCGCCAATAACGAAATTGTTTTAAGGTAAAACTTCTTCTTCTCTATCTCCTATCGGAGGTTAGCGATCATTACGCCGATCTTTACTTTGTCCACGGTGGTCCTGATAAGGGTTCCAAAAAACAGCAATATTCATAATATTAATACTAGATTTAAAGCCAAACTTGCTGTCCCCAAGTATCGTTTAGAAAAAGTCAATAGGTCTTTTATGGGAATAGGTATAAAAATTTACAATAAGATACCAAAAGACATACGCGAATTACCCTTAAATAAATTCAAAACATCTGTTAAATCATATTTACTGAGCAAGGCCTATTACTCACTAAACGATTACTTGAATGACGAGCGTACATGGCAATAGTTGTTCATGCATGGGATTTTCATTTAATGTTAGACATAGACACCTATATAAATATACACTGTAAATAAACTGGCTTTTAAACAAAAAAAATTCAATTGAGTTTCTTGCCAGTTCTTCTCAATTGGATCTATATACCGAACTGGACGGTAGGGAAAAAAAATTATAATGTAAAACTTGACGTTCATAAGCGGCTAAAATGTCCTACATGAATAAATGAATTTTGAATTTGAATTTGAAGGGACCTGGTGCTCAACCCCAACCAATACCTGAGGTTTTTTATCCAGGAAGTACGGCGTCTGCCTGGTCTGCGGCAACCCTGGATTTTTCCTTATATTATTAGTTGCAGAAGACTATATTTTCCATTACGCATTATGTGACCCAGGTTCAGCAGTTTATAGCGTTTGATGGTGTTTAGTACTGTCTTTCTTTGTACTCTTTGGAGAATAGTCTCGTTTCGCACTCCAACCCTCCACGATATCTTTAACATTCTTCTTCTTCATCATCTTAAGGTAAATAAATGCTCTTTAATTGCGATAATGCATTGAATTACGTTGTCGTTTACAATTTGATATGTAAATCCACAAACACAATATAGAATAGAATAGAATAGAAAATCATTTATCTCAAATAAACTTACATTGAAGCACTTTTGAATGGTTAACATTTTGTTTTTAATCTACCGCTCATTAGGAATGTTGTCTCATCACAAGAAGAACTAGCAAGAAACTTGTGTGTTGCTCTGTTAAATAATTTATTCTTACTTACAATTTAAGTTTAAGTGTGTGAATACAAACCACCGATTAGCATATATAATAATAATCCAGGACAATTCACACAGCTCCATCTTGTCCCAAGCCAAGCAGAACTGGTACTGGACAACTGAAACAAATACTTATATTACATTTGTTGTAAATATAATTATATACATAATTTACATAGATAATAATCAGAATGATACAATCATAATCAGGAATACAAATGTTTGTATTGTGCGAGGAATCGAACCCGCGACCACATATTTATTTTTATTTATTTATTCATGAACAATGTACATTGTATTTGAATGTAGATATATAAATTGCTTTACAGATATCACAGAATTAATTTATATATATAGCTAGTGGTACTCTTAGGTAGCCCACTCATGCATAAACAAAATATCTCCTTTGGAAAGTTTACATTCATTCCCGAGGAGATAAAAACCATCGCTCCTAAGAATATCCTTCAATTCTTGTCCCTGACGGGTCTAGGTTCTATTCTATTCCCTCTCATTTTACTGTCATATCGCTAACAGCTTGCATATCAAGGTACTTTGCAATAAAAAAATTAGGAGGAAAGTGTGTCTAGGCTTGTAATATTTCTGTCAACACTTGAGACCCTTCCATTAGTACCTCTCCACAACATTTAAGTTTAGTGTATAATCTGTCCACGTCCCGACTCTGCGACGAATGTACGCATTACTATTAAACCATGCAGCACACTACCAAATAAACTTACCAATGTACATTAAACAGTACAATTATTCCACCTCTACACTCACTACTTAAATACTACAATAAACAATATATTATGTAGCGACACCTCATCACATCATATATAATGCTACAATGGTGAGGTGATAACCACCGCGCTACAAGAGAATTACCTACTCCAACAGTTTTGCTGTCTTCATCTTCTGACTCACTTCTTCTTGTCTTTCAGCGGTGGAGCTGTAGCGTCTCCCCAAATTCTCCAACACTACTTACATACTACAATAAACAATATATTATGTAGAGACACCTCATCACATCATATAAAATGCTACAATGGTGAGGTGATAACCACCGCGCTACAAGAGAATTACCTACTCCAACAGTTTTGCTGTCTTCATCTTCTGACTCACTTCTTCTTGTCTTTCAGCGGTGGAGCTGTAGCGTCTCCCCAAATTCTCCAACTCAGCGGTATTGGTGACAGCGAAGTGCTGTCTCGGGCTGGGGTGAAAGCGATCCACCATCTACCGTCCGTCGGTCATAATCTTCACAACCATGTAGCACATTTCCTGAACTTCGAAGTGAATGATAACAATACAGCTGCGCTCAACTGGGCAACAGCCATGGAATATTTGCTGTTCAGAGACGGACTTATGTCTGGGACTGGTAGGTTATAGAAATATAAAAGAACTAAGTACTATATTAATTATTGGTATGCCTAAGAACTTTTAGAGTAAAGTGATCAGACCATGTAATGGTAGCAAGGAAATACGTTTAAAGAAAGATGTCGACATATTTTTTATAGCGCAGGGACAAACGAACTTGCAGCTCACCTGATGGTAAGTGATTACTGCCGTCCATGAGCACCCGCAACACCAGAGGAATTGCAAGTGCGTTGTCGGCCTTTTAAAAAGGAATAATCTCTTTTTGTGAAGGTTTCAATATCGTATCGATTCGGAAATACCATTGCTGGAAGGTGATTCCACAATGTGTGTGGCAAAAAGTTTCTATAAAACCGCATTGTGGAGGACCGCCATTCATCCAGATGATCAAGATGGTATTATAGTTTCAGTCGGGTGGTACGGTGTTGAAACTCAGCAGCTGGTATTAATATTTAACAATATGATTTTACACCATTTTAAAACGATGTCCCTTCTGTCAAGTAGAAACAATGTCAATTGCATGAATAATAAAATAAACATTGAGAAAAGGAGAGATGCAGGTACCGAAGAAGACGTAGACAGATCAGTCATAGATAGTATTTTGTCTGAGGTAGGAATCAGGACTCTTGGGTTTCTGAATGAAGATAAAGCAAGAATTGTGCGTGTGAAACATCTGTTTCTTTTTTTCGTTATTGTCGTAAAAATATATCATTTCTTTTCCCAGGCATATCTGAAGTCACAGCATTCATCAACACCAAGTACTCAAATCCAGCAGAAGACAATCCAGATATCCAATTGTTTTTCGGAGGTTTCCTTGCTGATTGCGCCAAGACTGGAATGGTGGGGGAGAGACTGGACAATGGCTCGAGGACCATACAAATTATACCAACAGTGTTGCATCCTAAAAGCAGAGGCAGACTGGAAATCGCATCTGCTAATCCTTTCGATTATCCGAAAATTTATGCTAAGTATGTTTCATATTTCCTGCTTATAATTCTAGTATGTAGATTAAGGCAAATTAGAGATGTGTCAACTCGAGTTAACTCGAGTTGAATTCTCCCAACTCGTGTTGGAAGAACCCGGTACATGGTCGAATCAAGTGAAAGAGCGAGAGCGTGATTCGGTTGTACCAACCAACAGTAACTTGAAGTTTTCCGATCATTTCATATCATAGAATTTTCACTCGTCACAAATGTCTCATTACTTGTTTAAGGTTATGGTATTTATTAAAATGATTTTGAAATTTAAAAACGGACATTTCCTAATCATCAGTGAGTAATCGTGTAGAATGTAATCAATAATCATTCTAAATGCTTCATTTTAAATATATCCCATCAAAAACATAAATGTGAAATGATAGCCGAGTTTAATATTATGATATATACCTTGATTGTTGACTTCTACGACAAAAGAGATGAGATCTAAATGGGTGCCAAGTTCTATGGTCTGTCCTGAAATGTATTTATAACAATATAAAATATCATTTCTTCTTGTAACTTAGGATAATATACTGTAGCCTAAGTTCTAACTTGGCCAGTTCTCATATACCAATTATTACTTTCGATTGCTAGTTACTACTAATATTAAAATAGGAACCGACAAGTAACATGTTTAGAACTTGCGAAGGCTACAGTATATTTCGTAACACACGGTGCTGCTTGCCAGTTTACTTGAAACTCGGCTTGATACGCTACCGCGTGTCTAGATAGGAAATACGAGTTATAGAATCATATCAAAATAGCACTCAATTTGACTTGGCCTTCAGCCATGAATGCGCTCCATAAGTCCTTACGAGGGTTTGGTGCCATTTCCAGGCGCCCCCTTTGGTTCGGTGAAGCTGTCTACAACTAGCCAGCTGCAACCAACAACATTAGAATAGTTCGAAAATAATAAAAAAAACTGTTTCTTCCAGTTACCTGAATTTCAACTCGAGTTAACTTGAGTCATGTTTACTACGACATCTAGACTAGCACATCTCTAAGGCAAATTACTAATTTATTAAACAGAGTCATGATTATTGACAGTCAACATTACAATGCGTTTATATTTTTTTTATTCTAGCTACTTAACACATGCTGACGATGTCAGAACTCTAATCGAAGGCATCAAGTTCGCCATCAAACTGTCTGAAACGAAAGCTCTGAAACGGTATGGTGTTAAGATGGATAAGACTCCAGTGCCAGGCTGTGAGAAGATCAAATTTGGATGCGACGCATATTGGGAGTGCGCTGTGAGGATGCAGACTGCTCCGGAGAATCATCAAGCCGGCTCTTGTAAAATGGGTCCACGGGGAGATCCGACTGCTGTTGTGGATAACTTGCTACAGGTATGGTTTCTTATGTGACTAGTGCTGTCGCTTATAGATATCGACCTCGGTGGTCTAGCGATCTAGCACACCGCTTTACGGACCGATTGGTCGCGGGTTCCATTTCTCGCATATTTCTATATAAATTATGTATGTATTTAAGAATATATATTTATTAGTTGTCTAGTACCCGTAATAAAAGGTCTGTTTAGCTAGACAACTGTCTTAATAACATTTTAGTAAGTACGTAAGATGAGCATGAGATCAGATTAGTTAGCACATCGTGACATATTCACCAAGATTTTTTTTTCATTGATAATAGTGGAGTGGTGCACCCGCCTACGCTAACGGTTTACGCTGGCGGGGCACCAGTGGAGGATGATAAGGTGAGCATGAGGTCAGGTCAGTTAGCCCATCGTGACAAATTCACCAAGGATTTATCACTATCGTTTCCAGGGGGAACCGCGTGAAAGGCAACCTGATAATGTACATTGCTAGCAAAGATCATCAGTCCACATTACTAAGAATCCCTTTCCCTCTAGGTACAAGGTATAGACAGACTGCGCGTGGCTGACGCGAGTGTAATGCCCTCAGTGGTGTCTGGCAACACCAATGCGCCTACCATCATGATCGGCGAGAGAGCCGCAGATTTCATAAAGCAGCGCTGGCTGGGAGGCATACAGGTGAGTTTCTTTCATTCATCTCATTAAAAAAAGAAAAATGCATAAATATTTATTCAGAGCTTTAAAAAAACAAACATTACTAAATTTTGTATGTATAGCATCGAAATGGCACCACTCAGCTTTACGGCATACGCGAATACATTTTGCATTGCACAGCCACATTGTAGTTTTTTTTTTAATATAGTCGGCGGTAATCACTTACCATCAAGTGAGCCGTATGCTCGTATGCATGTGCTAGAAAAAAAAATAAAAAAAAAATTTTTACTCCACAGACCCAATATCCAATCAGCGGACACGGCGGCATCTCTAACGTGCTACAAGCCAGCGACACGCAACCACAAGCCGTATGGCAGCGATGGGTGTAAAACGACTGTATACCAACTCAATAACTGCCTTTACACGTACCTACACTCTTTCACGCGCGATAACGCTAAAATTACGGTCTGAGCCGAGGCCAAACCCCTAGCAGTGACTTTAGACTAAAGTCGTATCCATCAGGCAGGAGTTGGCCTTCAGCCGCTCCATAAGTCCTTCTGCAGGTTTGGAGTGCCATCTGCACTCGCCCCTACCGTCCGGTGAATCTGTAAAAGCTAGCTGCGGCATCAATCTTAGAGTAGATAGTCCTAAAAAATAAGAAAGCTTTCACAATGTCTAAAGTAAATTTACACAAGAACGAGAAAGAAGGCATGCGCCGCACAACTCTCACATTCTCGCATTCTGATCCTCGCAATGTGATCACTCACATTTGCGCGCGCTCCTGATCGCACGTGAAAAATGTGTCGTGTAAAAGTAATTAATATTCAAATCAAATCCAATATTTGTCTTCGCTTGAACACCATTGTTTATTCGTCAAAGCATTTCATATTTCACAATATGTGTATAATTGTCCTCTTCATTACTTCCATAGAAAATATGTGTGCTACAGGATATTATATAGTGTTATTCAGGATCTTTAACCATAGACAATAAATAGATTTGGTGATGTATATAATTTTATTAGGTACTCACAAAGTACATTAAGCATTAAATTCTATATAAGCTCGTAAGGACATTGTCATACCTATAATGTTGCACCTATTTATTGTTCATAAGTAAACTAAGATAAGTAATTATAGACAAACATCGTATAACGTATTGAAATCAATTAAAATTAATGATAAAAAGAACATAAAATTCATAGATTATGAATTTGGAAATTTACAATCTATGCCATTTGAAAATGGCGGGAATTCAATTCATTTTATTTCTCGTATATTACTCGTAAGTACCTGCCTACCTTACTGCGTCTACGCGTTTATTTGTACAAATTAGAGTAAGTATTTTAGGTAGATAAATTACTACTTTCCTATACAATACTCCATCTAGTGTACATTAGTGGTATAAGTGTTAGTGTAATTAGATTTGAAATATTTAGGGACGAGATGCGCACAACTTGCCTTATGTTAATTACATCTATCAGGGAATTATGCGTGATTCCCGTGATTGTATTATTATATTAAGCCATACTGTATGTTTAATTTTAATATATATTTCTTAATAAAATTTTGCCTTGTTTCTGGAGTAAATCATTTCTTTATCTAAACAGAACCTCTCTAGTAATATTGTGCAAGTTTTTTATATAACACCCTTATGGTTTCAATTCAAGGTGACCAATTCCTTCCCAACAAAGATGTACTTAAACGCCATGTTATTCCTCGAATTTATTAGATAATCGGTCTGATTGGAGAGCTTTAGTTAGAACTAGAGTTCAAGAGTCAGTCTCATCAGTGTTGCCAGCTTGATGTGAGACGCGATGAAACAAAAGCCGGTCCACCAGTGGCGTGTCAAAATATGTGGGAACTATTATAATTAAATTAGAATAAGCTATATAGACAGCAAACATGGAAGTCTTTGAAACACTCGCTATAACCGGAGCATTCATGCATTTTCGTTCGAATCGTAAATTAATTTAACTGCCTACTTCTATTTCCCACCTTCAAAGTTTTTAACGCTTAGAAATGTATAAAGAAATATTATGCCACCCAAGAACTTAAAACGAAAAATATATGAATTTGGGCATGTCTAATATAGTTCTCACTATTATATCGACTATTGAAAACCCTAACTACATCTTTGGCCTAAAGATATATATTAATTTATTTTAGCTACTATACAAAGACAGAAGTTGGCAACACTGCTCAGATTATTGATCGTTGAATTAGGAACTAAAAAAAGATTAGAATCCAGGGCCGTAATAAATGTTATTTAAAAAGTTATAATGACATATGTAAAATTTTATTTGAAAAAAGTGCAATAAGTTATTGTTCACAACTGTTGAAAACAATTTATAATAATTGTGTATACATATTTTATTTATTTAATGATGTGATCAAACAAATGTTCTAGATTATTCTCGCAACTTATGTATTTGAAAAATAGAAAGAATATAATATGTACCTAATAACATTACATTAAGTACTTTCTTAGCTAAGAATCTATCGCCGACAATTATAATATCCTTGTATGTAAAGATGTAGTCGTATATTAATTGGTTATATCTATATAACCCATTACTAGTCATCTTATTTTAGTAAATAAAGCCAGTTCTAAAAAAGTAAAATGTATCTACTCTCTACATTGATCTTATTTTCCTATTAATAATAATGTTAGTCGAATTCCAACTAGTCGTATAGATATAAGATGCTACAAATAATATATCTAAGTTACACATAAAGCAGTATAGAATTTACAATGGAGAATCAACAAGTTTTTATGGTATGTAACAGTTTGTTTGATTTATTATTATTAAATTAAAAACTAGCTAATCCTGCGGGTTGTACACATAGAATAGTGACCTTGGAGGGTATAAAATATTTATGAATATAAACCAAAAAAAGGAAAATAAATATTTATCATTCTAACATCAAAAATGATGAATCCAACACCTATATTATTTTAAATAATAAAAAGGGGAAAATTTTTACAAAGTTTAAATGTCATATTTATTTATATTTAATAAACAGCCGAAAAAATAAGTTTTAAGCTTCTATTTAAAAATGATGATAATTCCATACAATCTTTTATGTCCCAGTTTAACCCATTACCTTTTTTTTACAAAAGTAGCCTGTCCTTTCACAGGGTCTAGACTATCTGTGTACCAAATTTCATTTAAATCAAATAGTTTTGTTGTGAAAGCGCAACAGACAGACAGAAGTACTTTCGCTTTTATAATATTTGTAAGGATTGGATAGAAAAACTATATGTCCTCATTTAAATACATATTTCTAAAGGCACAATCCACACAGGTCATGATAACATCTGTAGACAATTTAAAAAAAAAAGAATGTACTATCACATAATATATCTTCCCCTGAAACTGTCCAATAGAAATAAAACAATTTTTAAATCTTTTTCTAATATGTTTTACTAGCGTATTTGGAAAACAGATCAGTGCCATTGTGTATTTAAAATTTACAATACAATTTATAATGTCAATAAAATGTTCTTTGCAGGAAAATGAAACACCACCAGCAACAGCTGACATTTGTACAGAAACAGGAGTCCTGGATCAACCTGTAAACCAACTCGATGATAACATTACAATCAAGCATGAGTATATTGACATACAACCAAATACTACTGAAAACAGTAATGAAGAAGGTAACATTGACATACCTTCTGAACAATTGTTTGATGAACAACACTTAGATACAAATGCAATTATTAACAAATATGATCCTGATGTAACTGAGGAATCAGTAGAAATGTATAATGAAGAAGACAAAAATGACTATTATGAATACTTATATGAGAATTGTGAAATAAAAGAGGAGTTGGTTTTGGGACCAACAGGTGTGCAAGAAGTTACTACTATGACCCATACTGAGAAACCATCAGGCGAGTAATTTATTTCAATATGTAGAATTCTAGTCCCCTAATATTATGTATTACTTCATATTAGTGTTTTATTACTTCCAGATGAACAAGTTGACAGTTCCAAGAGTCAAATGATGACAAAAACATCTACAAAGAAAAGATCTAAAAAGAGTATTAAAAAACCATATAGCTGCAAAATCTGTAAAAAGAGATTTAGTTCTAATGTCAGGATGTTACACCACATGCGTTGTCATAATAATAAAAAAGAACATAAATGTGAAATATGTGAAAAAATTTTCAATACTGAAGAACATTTGCACAAACATCTTATTACTCACATTGGTAAAAGGTTGTACAATTGTAAAATGTGTAAAAAACGTTTCACAACTCAAATATCTTTAAAAAACCACATGTCTGAAAATATAAACTTGCAAAATCATATGTATACACGCACACACACTGGGATGAATAAAGATCTTTGGAAACCATCCTATAGATGTGAGGTTTGTTCGAAATGTGTAAGTACGAAATCAAATTTGAAAACGCATGTGCGTATTCATGCTCACGAGAAGCAATTTATTTGTAACAGGTGTAATAAAAGTTTTAATTCAAAATCAGGTTTAGAGGGTCACATGCCCAAACATACCGATTCTAAACCATATTGTTGTGATGTGTGCTATAAAGGTTATTCTACCAAATCTAGCTTGAACCAACACAAGATTGTTCACACTGATATAAAACCACATAAGTGTGAGGTATGTGGTAAATTTTTTCGGACAACATCACAACTTAAGGTTCATATGCGTATTCATAATGAGGAAAGGGCTTTTACCTGTGACATTTGTGGAAAATGTTTTGTTCAAAAATCAGGTTTGGTTTCTCACATGGTAAGTCACAGTGATAAAAAACCATATGAATGTGATCTATGTAAAAAGAAATTTAGCAAAAGAGGCACTTTGGTTCAACATATGATCGTTCATAATAATAAAAAACAATATAGTTGTGAAGTATGTCAGAAACCCTTCTCCAAAAAATCAAGTGTGAAAGCACACACAGCGAGGGCACATATCGGTGAGAAGCTGCACAAGTGTCAAGTTTGTGGAAAATGTTTTGGTTGCAATTCGAATTTAAAGCAACATATGAGCATACATACTCGTATAAAACCACACAAATGTGAAATATGTAAAAAGGACTTTAGCAGAAAAGCTCATTTAGTCATTCACATTCGTACTCACACTGGTGAAAAACCATATGTGTGTGAAACATGTAAGGAAGGTTTTATTTCACAGTACACCTTGAAACTTCACAACCTTACTCATAATGAAAGTCAATATATTTGCGATATATGTAATCAAAGTTTTACTTATAAATCCGGTATACGTACTCACATGCGCAATCACGCTGAGGAAAGACCATTTAGCTGTAATATGTGTAAAAAACGTTATAAAAGACAATCTCATTTGACTGTCCACATTCGTATTCATACTGGTGCTAAACCATACGCATGTAAAGTGTGTAAAAAGAAGTTTAGAAGCGAAGCAAATGTGGCTTCCCATATGCTTGTTCATACTGATCAAAAACCATTTAGTTGTGACATATGTAAACAGTGTTTTAAAATTAACTCGGCTTTAAGAAATCACAACCGTACTTGCACCACAAACAAAAAGTGAAACGCTTGCTTGCTCTTCCAATTGCATACATGTATATAAATTTATAGCATTTAGTGGGAGTAGTTCGCTGATCATCAGTTGTATGCTTCGAAGGTAATACGCAATACATAAAATAGTATTCTAAGTTAATACCTAATATCTAGTCATATTTAATTTGTATTACTATAAACATATTAATATAAATAATAGCTTCTTAACTCGTATTGTAGTCTACTTTATTTATCCCTATAGAATTCCCTAGTCACCATTAACACATGAATTCAAATTAAAGAAAATTTTAATCTATGTTTTTGTATGAAAATGTAAAACTTGCATTATAAAACAAACTTGGTCACAAAATATTAAATTAACCGCCAATGACGGCCATTTTCTTTATGTTACCAACCTAAAGTCATTATTTTATGCCAAAGTAAATCAATAAGTCAAAGTTTAAATTCGGGTAGAGAGACGTCCTAGGAGAGATATACTCTCGTCTTTTATTCGTTAATGACAACATTTATGTGTCAGACTATCTGTGCCCGTAGTTTTACCCGCATAAAATGTATAGAAACTATGTTACTGTTCTGTTTCAACCGTTCGTAATTTTTGAGTCAAAGAGAAACAACGATCCATACTCACAAGTTTTCGCGTTTATAACCGCACATGTGGGTGTTCTGTGACTAGAAAGTAAAAAAAAATGGTACCATAGGAAATTACTTTGGATAGCATTATCGCCATGACATATATAATGGCATATATAAATCATTGTGTAAAGAACCATTAAACTTGATTAAATACGATATATACTATAGAAAACACTATTTATTTCAAAATTATGACTTACAATGTTTTTAAGCATATATACGAATATAATAAAGTTTTTATGTTATACACATTGATATTTAATTATGTTAATGTAGTTTCATAAAGTAAGATTATCGATAAATATTTAGAATTGCGAAAATAATGGTTTTTAAATTTTATTTGGACATTTTTAAATACTTAATTAAAACGCTTTTACTACAATTAGTGGAATTTAAACTCATATGTTTTTATAACCCGTACATTATTATAGCTCTACAAATTTTTCTGCTTTTCCAATTCTTTATGTTGTGTTGTTCTGTCCATTTATACTCGACTTTAAAGAATTATTCGACACGTTAGGTCCGACAACCTATATTATGCGAACACGAAATCTACATATTAGCTAACATATACATTGTCTATATGTCTTTATCCAATAACAGACGACAGAATATCTCCTAAAAAATTTATGTGATTATATATTTCAAAATGAATATATTTCTTATGTACGTTATGTTAATGAAGCTATTTGTTTCACTTCAGGCCATTTTCGTTATCTTTTATACCAAGCGACTTGTGGCAACACTGGTCCCAATCTCTCTACTTCAGTTATTCTGTACTCCGCTGATCTGTGATTTTTATGTATTTTATCATATTACATTTAACTTTTATAGATAAACTACTGTGATTTTGTTGTGAATGCAAAGAAAAATTTGAAGAAATTACAGAATATTTATTGATGTAAATTAGTCTCCTTACTATTAAGCAAACATTCGTTATAATCGCTAAGCAAATAAGCTTTATTTCACTAGTCGTCAGTTAACATAAAATCACTACGATCGAATAAGTTTAAAATATTTAAGTCAATTACACATCAAACGAAAACGACAAGCACGTAAGTAATCTTTATAAGTTATTATTTGTATACGTTGCATTATCATATGAATATAATTTCAGTAATTTGTGTGTGCACTCCATGCGAATTTTCATACCATATGACTAACATGACCATTTTTTTTTGTCTAAGTAGAACATTTGTAGACTAAAGAAAAAAAAACATTACATGGGTAAATTATAACAAACAGTTTTATTTTACCTTAACATTATAGTCTCTGTTCGCTGTTTTTTCACCTACACTGACACAATAATATGAACAGGTTGCCCTGCTGCAAACAACCGTATAAATTGACCCCGTTTGGGGGCAACGTCACAGATAACCTAATAGCAAGCATTTCCCGCCTAAAATAATACAATATGGTCATGTTAATCATCTATAAATATAACAGAATTACTTTCACAGACAGCTATCTTGCAGTATCCTCGATGCATCAGTGCTACCACTCTACAGTTTTTGCCAGCAGTTTTGCAACAGACTTGCCTCTGTACTATCATTACCAGAGATATAGTCTATCGCAATACTGCAATTATCCACGCTGGTATACATTGCTGGTCAGCAACGGGACGGAACAAAGAAAGTCTACAGCGAGTGATGGATAGAATCCAACTGTTGTTGCACATTGGAATTTTATTTCCATCGCTATTTGTGGACTATCTTTCAACGATTTACTGTAGTTTTAGGCCTGAAGTGTACATCTTAATTTGTAAATAATTGTTAAGTTGGTTATGAAACAAGATACAATTATTATGCTTTCATTCTATATTAACTGATTTATTTGTAGGTAGATACACAAAACATTTATTTTCATTACGTAACATGTATGAATTTAAATTTATGCACTCGTTAATATGAAGAAATATCATTTTCACAAAGTATGTGTAAACATAAGCAGATCATTCACAATAGGGAGACTTTGTACCATCTGTGTGACTATTCACCTAAATTTATTCATCTAATATATTATACACAATATTTAACCTTAATCCTTTTTTAATTACGCAGCATATAACGGGTACTGTCTCTCACTAGGATGTGTCAGTACATCATCAATATAATTTAATGTATATATTTTTGATATGAAATATTCCACTCGCTCCAGGTTCCAGGGCTCAGCAGAAATTTAAGAAATGTAGATATACATATGTCCTACATGTACACTAAATTTTGACATTTGATGTATTTATACGTCCCACTCGGTTACTAGGTTAATAGATTGTTTTTATCTTCTAATAATATTTATTGCAGTACTATAGTAGTTATATCAGTATGTTTATGTAATTAACTACCATGACATAATCTACAACTTAAAAGAAAATGTAATGAGCAGTTCAAGGAAAATAATTATAAATTGTAATAATAATCACATCTTATTTTTATATGTTACTAGTAGATCTGGCATCATATTACTGTGGTTAAGGTTCTGGAATGAAATAACATTGCAACTATAAATTGAGGTGTATCCTATCTTTCAAGTGGGATCAAATTGCACACATTGTGTAAATCAAATATGCAATTGGTTTAGTAGTTTAGAAGTCCATCATGGACAAACAATGTGACACATCATTTTTATATAAAAAATTATACTATACAACAAAAAAAAAGGATTTCCATATTGATGTACTGAACAAATAGTATAAAATTTGTGTGTTGTTGTGATCTCATACATACTAATTGTAGCAGAATTAAACAAAATAAAACCATTAAGTATTGAAATAAATGTATTATAATTATTATTGTTACAAATCAGATAAAAAAACATTTATTGATGTGGGACATTTTAGATGTTTATGAATGTAATATTTTCCCTACCACACAGTTCAGTACAACAGATTCAATTGAGAATTAGCAAAAACTCATTGAAATTTCTTTGTTGTTTTACAAAGTTTATGTACTGTTGCGGGTAAATGATATGATGTTGTTAGTAGAAACAATGTATATTTCTGTGAGACACACACAGTTTAGACAAGGCAGTGCTTAGTAGACAATATTAAGTTTGTCTTACTAGGCATTATTAAATGCAATTATTATTTTTATGTATCTAGGTAACTGTGTCCCATATAGTACTATTGTAGATGTTTATGTCTAACATTAAGTGAAAATCCCATGCATGAACTACTATTGTCATGCATGTTTGTCATTCAAGTAATTGTTTAGTGTGTAATAGTCTTTGCTCAATAAATAGAATAGAAAATTATTCAAATAAACTTAATTTAAGCACTTGAATAGTCATAACAACTTTTTTTACCTACTGCTCGTTCGGAAAGCTGTCTCATCACAAGAAGAACGAGCAAGAAACTTGTGTGTTGCTCTTTTAAAATTATCCTTGTAAGTTTACATTTAAAAAATATAATTTAACAGATGTTTTGAATTTATTTAAAAGTAATGACAGTACATAATCGACAGGTAATTCATTCCTACACGCTGGAACCTAAGTGGTCTCGGACAGTGCGGTTTCAAAGAGCTTCCACCTGCATACAGTTAGGTTGTGGAATGAACTTCCTGCAGAGATTTCTCATGAGACCACAGCATGGGGTTTTTTAAGAAGGGTATATAAGGGTCGGCAACGCGCACGTGACACCCAGTGTTTCAGGCGTCCATAGGCTACGGTAACCATTTACCATCAGATGGGCCGTATGCCTGTTTGCCACGATAGTAGTATAAAAAAATCCTTCAGTACCTTATTGTAATTTCTTAAACCCATTGGCATAAAAGACCTATTGACTTTTTCTAAATGATACATAGTATAATTATATTTAATAACTAGCTGTTCTCGCGACTGCGTCCGCGTGGAACTTAACTTTATTTTTTTAAAAAAAAAAGTAACGTAAGTTACTCCTTATTACATCAGCTACCTGCAAAAAAAAGTCCCGTCAAAATCGGTCCAGCCATTTCAGAGATTAGCCGGAACAAACAGACCGACAGACTCAAAAATTATAAAAAATGTTATTTTGGTATATGTACCGTATATATATTCATATGCATGTAATAAAAAACGGTTATTTCAATATTACAAACAGACACTCCAATTTTATTTATATGTATAGATTAATAATATTATTTAATATTATATATTAGTTTTGCCAATGTGTGTTGCCAGTGATGACTTACGGAACAGAGACGTGGTCGCTAACTATGGGCCCCATCAACAAGCTCAGAGTCACTCAGAGGGCTATGCTCGGAGTTTCTCTGCGTGATCGAATCAGAAATGAGGAGATCCGCAGAAGAACCAGAGTGACCGACATAGCCCGAAGAATTGCGACTTTGAAGTGGCAATGGGCAGGGCACATAGCTCGTAGGACAGATGGCCGTTGGGGCAGTAAAGTCCTCGAGTGGCGACCACGGACCGGAAGACGCAGCGTGGGAAGGCCTCCAGCAAGGTGGACCGACGATCTGGTCAAGATCGCGGGAAGGCATTGGATGCGAGCAGCGCAGGACCGATCGTCGTGGAGATCTTTGGGAAAGGCCTATGTCCAGCAGTGGACGTCTTCCGGGCTGCGATGATGATGATGATATATTAGTTTTGACATTTTTTTGTTTGCACCAGTTATTACCCACTCAGTACCACATAGCCCACTGTTTTAGGTTGACTGGAAGAGATCTCTTCTAGGGATAAGTCCACCTTTGCTCACATTGTCTCTAAATCAGGGATGTTAGGGAGCTCCGTAACCGTAACCGAATCCGAAATAAAAGTTTCGGATAATATCGGATAGGGCCGGAGCCTAATTGAGACACGTTATGTAACCATTTTATTTGGTATTTACATAGTATAAAACAAAGTCGCTGTCGCTGTCAGTCCCTATGTATGCTTAAATCTTTAAAACTACGCAACGGATTTTGAAGCGGTTTTTTTAATAGATACAGTGATTCCAGAGGAAGGTTTAATTGTGTAATACATGTATCCCCGTGCGAAGCCGGGCAGAGTAGCTTGTTATTATTATAAACTATTACAAGGATAATTTTTGTTAGCGGGTGGGTAGTTTTTTTTTTCTCCTCAACAGCAAGAACCGATCTTCACTATTGGATATTTGATTTAATATTATTGTTTATTTGTAAAAATTATATAGTGATAGTGAAATGTAATAAGTGTACTAAATTATTAAAAGGAACAATAAAAATTCGAGACTTCTATTGTAAGTTACCAATACTTTGACAGTTGGTTGTTCCACAAATTTTGTAACATAGATTTTTGCTACAAGGAAATCACAGATTTGTACACCAACAATAATCAATGTTACATTATTAATATAGTAAGTATTTATTTTATTATATTTATTTGCCATAAAATTAGTCGTGTAAGACCCGGTTAATTATAAATAATGTATATTAAACACGAAAGTTTAAAAATAACAATAATCAAAGTTACTTATGTTTAAAAATTTTTGCTGGTATTTTTTTATTTTGTATGCAATTATTACTTAATATTTATCAATTGTAATTTAGAAAATGAATACAGTTACAAAAAGTGTTAATTTATGCGACTAAAACCCTCAAAATTTCGATAAGTTTATTATTTTCGTTCAGTGAGTGTTTATACTCATTTTTAAGTTATTTTTTTTTATATTTTCTGATGTTGGAAAAGAACACATACAGCTACAGGTATCAATGATTTTTTTTTCTCATACCAGTAATTTTTTGTCTATTTTCACACGGATTTGTGATAGAGAATTATATTATTTGTTTTTATATTTCTTGCAATTCAATCTTACATAATGAGTTAAGGTATAAAATCAAGCTGTATAACAAAGATTATTTATGAAAAAATTAATATGATATTTCGAAAAAATAAATGTGATATTCGATTGTTTTTTTACCTCACGAACTATGTAAAGCAGATTAAAAATATATTGTCTTTCGCAATGCTGACGTATTTTGATATTTATATATTTATGTAGATATTAATTGTAACTTATATCCTATAATTTATTTATAATCATTTATGTATGTCTATTGATTCTTATAGTTAATTTAGAACAATATTTTAATATCTCCTTTTTTCGTACACGTATGTATGACTATTCTAGTTAATACACTATCGTATAACATTTTCTAGGTTTGCTGGAAGAAATCTCTTTTTAGTAATAAGCTCTTGTACATTACATTTATTGTAGCAGTTTTTATTTCCTATGTGTGTGTGCAATAAAGAATGAAGAAAAAATTTTCTGGTTTCTGTAATTTTTTATGTATTTATATGTTACTATCAACAACATGTTTGTTTTACTGTAGGCACTTCAAAAGTCGTGGTTTTTGGATGGTATTTTTAGTATGGTTTAATAAAAAATCAGTTTTGGTCTTTACGAATTAATTTCCTATGTAATTTTGAGTCCCTTCCAGATCTCTTACATTATCAGTAAACATGTTCATATAACTAAATATAGATTTTTTTTATATAATTGTGGTAATTGTATTAAGTATGTAAAATTTCAAATAATAGTGTGTAAATATATCAGTTTCTGTAATATAACAATGTGACAGGGACTAAATTGTTTATTTCTTTCTCTCTTCGACATCAGTGCCATTTTGATATGCACAGCCCTTATCGACGTTTGAAGGTTAGAATTTGTCACCATCTTCAGGTCAGGGTCTTTTTGTTGTATGTGATAATGGAATAGTGCACCCGCCTGCGCTAACGGTTTACGCTGGCGGGGCACCAGTGGAGGATAAGATGAGCATGAGGTCAGGTCAGTTAGCCCATCGTGATAAATTCACCTGGAATTTATCACGATGGCTTCTAGGGGGAACCGCGTGGAGGTCAACCTGATATGGTACATTGCTAGCAATAGGGTCGTGCGTCCATATTAATAACAATCCCCTTCCACGCCCTGGTCAGGGTCTGGTAGCTCCATGAACTTGAGGTCACACAATATCGTATAATTCTCCGGTTGTAGCTACACCTACTGTATAATGATAACTCAGGACAATTCACACAGCGCCATCTAGTCCCAAACTAGGGAAAAGTACATAGAAAAAAAACGTACTAAGGGTTTTAAACTATTGATAGAAAATACATAAATTTTTGTAAATATATACATTATGTACTTTGGGAACACCCAATCAAAAACTCATTCATAAATGCTTGTGCGAATCGTACCCGCGATCATCGGAAGTGAAACGGTGTGCTAAACCGCGAGACCACAGGCGCTTCGTGTACATGACACAAGTCTGTCGTGCTGTCATGTACCAAATATATAAACAAAATATATTTTTAGGTAGGTAGGTCAAGATGAGTGAAGAAATAGATGTTAAATTACCACCACTTAAGAAACAGAAGCTAGAAACTGATGCTGATGGCATGGACTTCTCGAATGACGTGGCCGGCGGAGATGACTTCTCGGCGGGCAATGACAAATACAGCAATTACGTGGACCCTGAGGAGTTGGAGAAGCTGAAGGAGTTCACGGTGCTGGACGAGGTCAAGTCGAACGACGAGGACAGTAATGACGAGGAGTCGGGGAGCTCGGATGGTATGTAAAACTGGTTTGTAATCATTTCGCGTGGCGTGGGTGAAATTAGTTGACGTATTTCTGCATGCAAATATGATGGTATCATGAGTAATTTACCAGGATGTTTATTCATCATAAAATTGGTATCACACAAATTTCATCTAATATATAAAATTTTCGTGTCACAGGTTTCGGAAAGCTTGTGAGTGTGTATATATGTTTGTTACTATTTCACGCAAAAACTACTGAACAGATTTTGATGAAACTTTACAGTAATATAGCTTATGCATCAACACAAGCTATATTTTATATTGAAATTTAAGGCAAACCACGGGTACCGCTAGTTATATATAAAACATAATAAATAGTAAACAAACATTACACACATACACGCATATATACTCTTTTGTTTATTGTTGACAGGTAAATCCGAGGGGCTGCCAGAGGAGGAAATAGAGAAGATGTTAGAAGAAGATCTGCCCGAGAACTTCAGGGGAACGCCCAAACCCAAGGAGAAACCGTACATCACCCGACAGAAAATAGTGCTAGAAGGTACCTGTAGCTAGTCTACATTTTTTTATTAAACTAGTTGACTGCTCCGGCTTGGTTCGGGTGAACACTCGGTGTAAGGAGGAATGTACTTAGTAAGTAAGTAGTATATAAGCATTGATTATGTTAGAGTTTACATCGTAATATAATCTCAGGACAATGCACACAGCGCCATCTAGATCCAAGTTAAGCTAACTAAAGCTTGTGTTATGGGTACTAGATAACTAATACAAACACATAGATAATTTTATTTTTCATAAATACATACATATTATACATAGAAAATACACAGACCGATGCAAACAATTATACTCATGAATACAAATGTTTGTGCCGTGCGAGCAATCGACCCCGCGACCATCGGACGTAAAGCACCGAGGTTGTCGATCAACATCAATGTTGTAAAATCCGATATTTTTAAAAAATATTAAAAGAAAATAGTTTGTGTTTAGTACTAATGAAGTAAATAGCGCCATCTAGTATTTATAGAGCGAATTAAATTGTTTGTCATAAAATACCCGTTACTCCCGCTTCTCTCCTTACTACACTGACTACAGTCTATAAATACGGAGGTCGGTAGTTGAATAATCCTCTTTCGTTGCGTGAGCCGCGGCATTCAGTCGCCGAGCGCAGAGCGTGCCAGTTGTGTTTTGGATACTAAAGTAAATTGTATTAGGAATGGGTTTATCCCGATCTTAGTTGGGCCTGGGGGGAAGCTGCAAGTAGTGAAGGTGAGTGTTAATGCATTCTAAAAGGGCCTTTTAAACCTACACCCGTGTCACAAGTCACGGGCGCTACTTGGGGTTTCCCTTGCGGTAGCCGGCTTCAAAGCCTCAATCGTCCATCATAATTAGTGCTTCTTACACATTGAACCCTCGGTTATCCGACAAACGTTTTGCAGGGCAGTGTCGGACCATCAAATTTGTCGTACTATAGAGTGCTGCCTAAAGGTCCCCTATGGTCCGGAATTTTTTACAAAAGAGCATCTTGTAATCCGACAAATTACAGATCCAGTGATAAGATTCTATGTTATATATGTATGTTTGTATATGCACTCAGAAGTATAAATCATACTTCATTATGTAAGTACTACCTGTACCCGCGACTTCGTCCGCGAAAATAGTGACCTTGACCAAATAATAAAAAAAATATGTAATGACCTAACCTATCCCTATTTTATTTTACCCCCTAAGGGTAAGATTACAAACTTAGTATGTCATATTTATTTATATTTAATCAACAGCCTCCAAAATAAAGTTTCAATCTTCTAGCTTCAATAATAACGAATTTACATAAAAAAATTATGCTCTAATTTATTTAACCCCCTTAAGGGTAACATTTTTAAAAACTTTGTATGTCATATTTATTTATATTTAATCTAGCAGCCTCCAAAATAAAGTTTCAAGCTTCTAGCTTGGCGAAAGTGGCGATACTTCCATACAATCTTTCATCTCCAATATCAACCCCTTACAACCCTTATTTCGCATTAAAAAGTAGTCTATGTCCTTTCTCAGGGTCTAAACTAACTGTGTACCAAATTTTATTTAAATCGGTTCAGTAGTTTTGGCGTGAAAGCGAGACAGACGGACAGACAGACAGACAGACAAACAGGCAGTTACTTTCGCATTTATAATATTAGTAAGGATGTCAACGAGCAAGGCCTATTACTCACTAAACGATTACTTGAATGACAAGTGTGCATGGCAATAGTTTTCATGTACGGGATTTTCATTTAATGTTAGACATAGACACCTATATAAATACCTATGCATTGTAAATAAACTGGCTTTTAAAAAAAAAGTAATTCAATTGAGTTTCTTGCCAGTTCTTCTCAATTGGATCTATATACCGAACTGGACGGTAGGGAAAAAAAAATATAATGTAAAAACTTGACGTTCATAAGCGGCTAAAATGTTCTACATGAATAAATGATTTTTGAATTTGAACTATTAAAAGATTCGTTACGATTTAGGCGGTCCAAAATATCACATTTTTCTTTAATTGTCAGTGTTTTGTGCTTTCCATTCTGAGCTGATACGTATACGTGTGAATATACCACACCAGGGATGTTATGGATATGAAATTTCGGATACGGATAGGTTTCGGATATAGGAATAGTTCTTATAGTTACCGGATACGGATGCGGATATGAAATTATTTCGGATTATCCGTTAGTTTCGGATAATTTCGGTTATTAAAATAATTTTAAAAATAAAACACCAATAGCTAATAAAATGGTTACATAACTTGTCTAAATTAGGCTCCGCCCCTATCCAATATTATCCGAAACTTTTATTTCGGATTCAGTTACGGTTACGGAAATTTTATTATATCGGATATCCGATAGAAATAATGAACTCATGCAATACCTTAACGCTATCTTCATTACATGTAATTAGTCAAATTCAAAATGAGCAACCATAGTCAAAACAAACAATACCCTACACGTCAAATGCAACAGTAGATACTAATATAATTACAGTACATACACCAAAATAACATTTATTGCAATTTTTGTCTGTCTGTTTGTTCCAACTAATCTCTGAAATGGCTGGACCGATTTTGACGGGATTTTTATTGGCAGGTACCTGATGTAATAAGGAGTAACTTAAGCTGACTATTGTAGAAATAATAAAGTTAAATTCCACGCGGACAAAGTCGCCGGTACAGCTAGTCTATACTATTTTAAGGAATTAATATTAAGATGTATGATAGTCTATAATGTACGTGTAATATGAGCCATGTATCCTAAATTACATAAATAAACAAATGTATTTTCCCTTTTCAGATAAGGGCGTGAACCATTTCGAAGTGCTGCCGCTTGACTGGATGATGGTGCGGCATTACAGCGGCATGCCGGTCTACATGCACCGCACCACCAGAGTCTGCACGCTCTCCAAGCCCTACTGCCTCGGGAAGGGGAACACCAGGGTGAGGATTCAAAACAGTACTCTAAGTTAACTTGTCGCTAATGATGAAAATGTTGTGTGGGTCTGAGACGAACTTCTTAGCATTCAACCCATCACCCTGCCCAATCTGAGAGGTTTAATTATCATCAGAAATACTTACACGTACATACTACAAGGTTTTTTTAGAAGTGTCTCTACAAAGTCACCTATAATGTCTAGTTGATATTGTTTTTGATACAATATTTGGAATCTCAGGTTCCTACATTAAATCCCTTATAAATAAATAATCTCAGGACAATTCACACAGCGCCATCTAGAAACATAAGCTAGCTAAAGCTTGTATTATGGGTACTAGATAACTGATACAAATATATAGATATATTTTTTCTTAAATACATACATATTAGACATAGTAAACAGCCAGACCGATACGCGTTGCCTACCGTTTAGAAACCTTATTATACCCTTCTTGAAAAACCCCATGCTGTAGTCTCGTGAGAAAACCTCAGCAGGAAGTTCATTCCACAATCGAAGTATTATATATACAGCAATCATCATCAGGTCATGATATTAATATGATGTCGATTTTATTCCAGAGACACGATATACCAATTAGCGCAATACCTTGCCTAGCCTACAGAAGAGCATTACAAGAAGAAGATAAACATAAGGAGATCGATAGAAGAATAGCAGAACAAATAAAGAACGGAACCTGGATCAATAACCAGAGAAATGATAAATCTAAAGACGACGTAAATGTTAGTTTAAGAGAAAACGTAACGCCAATAAAATGTCCATATCAAAAATACAATGAATTAGATCAAACCGATCAGACCAAGTGTCCTTTTAATAAAGGCAATAAAAGTGAGCAAACTGTAGATATTAATGTAAATAACAAGGGATTAATTGAAACAAAAGACGTTATTAAAACAAATAAACAAACGAACGAACAAGATGTTGAAAATAAACCTGAGAAAGAACGAATGGAAACTGAAATGAATGAACTAAATGAAGTTACAAAGGTTGAACAAGATGTCAGTGAAACAGTCGATGAAGAATCAAATGAACAGAAAGTGAGTGAAGCAGATGATGTGAAGAACTTTGGTGGTATACCACTGAATCGGCAGCCGGTGGTGTTGCCTGGTGGTATAGTGATGGCGCCCCCGCGGGTGGAAACCGTCAACTCCAGCTGGAAAACTCAGCACCTCTCGCATGAACAAGTCAACGATTACTGCAAGAAATTGTTTAAATTTAAAACAGTCAATATTATGCATTTCAAGTAAGTTTACTCAATCAATTTTGCTGGTATTATATTATCAGTCATATCTATATTTTATACTGTTATGGTGGCAAACCTACTGTCCATTTGATGGTAAACGGTTACCGTAGCGAATGGACGCCTGAAAAACCTAGGGTGTCATGTGCGCTTTTACCCTTAAGAAACCTTATTCTACCCTTCTTGAAAAACCCCATGCTGTAGTATGTTGTTCTATTAGATTAGGTCTGTTATCTTTTACTGTAAATATTTTCGAAATTTTCTGTAGAGAAAATTTCGGCAAGTAGTTTATTCCACAATCTAAGTGTACGCGGGAGGAAGCTCCTCTGACACCACACTGTCCGAGACCATTTAGATTCCAGAAATCAAACATCTGTAAAATAGTTGCTTATTTTCAATCATTGTTGTAAACTGTAGTTATCTATACATCTATACATATAAATAAAATTGGAGCCTCTGTTTGTAATATTGAAATAACCGTCTTTTACTACATGCATATGAATATAAATACGGTACATGCACCAAAATAACATTCACAATTTTTGTCTGTCGGTCTGTGTGTTCCGGCTAATCTCTGTAATGGCTGGACCGATTTTGATGGGACTGTTTTTTGGCGGGTAGCTGATGTAATAAGGAGTAACTTAGGCTACTTTTATTTTAGAAAAATAAAGTTCAATTCCACACGGACGAAGTCACGTGAACAGCTAGTATTTAATAATAATAATATCTCGCGATAATTCACACAGCGCTATCTAGTCATAAGCTAAGCAGTGCTTGTTTTATGGGTAAAAGACGGCTGGCATTTTTGTCAATACATTGTTATCGAGTTCTTTTAGGTTGATATCAGGGATGTTATGGATATGAAATTTCGGATACGGATAGGTTTCGGATATAGGAATGATTATTATACTGGATACGGATACGGATATGAAATTATTTCGGATTATCCGTTAGTTTCGGATAATTTCGGTTACGGATATTATTTTTTTAAGGAATTACAAAAGTTAAATACAAAAAGCTAATAAAATGGTTACATAACGCGTCTCAATTAGGCTCCGCCCCTATCCGATATTATCCGAAATTTTTATTTCGGATTCGGTTACGGTTACGAATATTTTTTATATCGGATATCCGATAGTTAATAAATATTATGCTCGTCTCCAGAGTGGACTATGTCTTTAATAATTTTTCACAATTTTGTTTAAATAGTTTTATTTGACATCAAAAGAATAAAAACTAAATTATAACTATAATTTAATAATATAGAGGTTGTATGGACTCGTATATACATAGAAAGGTCCAGACTGATACACACATTTACAACTTTTTGTACCGTGCGAGGAATCGAACTGGAATTACGCTTTAATAAATTTAAAACATCTGTTAAATCATATTTACTGAGCAATCCTCACTCGCTAAACGACTAGATGTAAACCAATGTTCCAAACTGCTAGACCATTGTGGCCGTCAAAATTATATTAATAAATCTTATCTCTGAAAGTTCTGTGTTTCTATTAACTACAATGGATTCCATTTTATGTTATATCTTATACGAGTACTTCATTACATTGTATAAAACAAAGTCGCTGTCGCTATCTGTCCCTATGTATACTTAAATCTTTAAAACTACGCAACGGATTTTGAAGCGGTTTTTTTAATAGATAGTGATTCAAGAGGAACGTTTATATGTATAATACATGCACACCCGGGCGAAGCCGGGGCGAGTAGCTAGTATTAATATAAAATATACCATGAAACTATTGAAGTAGTAATTCATATTTTAATATTAATAATGCAAAATATAACTCTTTGTCTATTTTTACATAAGTATATTATATGTCTTATATATAAAATTCTCGTGTCACAGTTTTCGTTCCCATACTCCTCCGAAACGGCTTGACCGATTCTCATGAAAATTTGTGAGCGTATTGAGTAGGTCTGAGAATCGGCCAACATCTATTTTTCATCCCCCTAAATGTTAGGGGTAGTCCACCCCTAAATTTTTTTTTATTTTTTAGACAAATTTTTTAGTTTCTATTTTTTTGTGATACAACATACAAAAATACATACAATCCTAAGTTTTCACCCTTCTATCATCATCCCCTATTTTTTTATAGCGTTACTAATTTATATGGCAAAACAACGTTTGCCGGAACAACTAGTAATTACATAAACTAATTATATATATATAGTATAAAATAAAGTCGATTCAGCAAAGTTCGCTTAGATCTTTTAAACTACACAACGGATTTTAATGCAGTTTTTAGCAATAGATAGATTAAAGAGGTTCTCGTGTCACAATGTTAGTTACCATACTCCTCCGATTTTATGAAATTTTATATGCATATTCAGTAGGTCTGAGAATCGGCTACTATCTATTTTTCATACCCCTAAATGATGAGGGTTGTCCACCCTCAATATTTCTTTTTTTGGATAATGTTTCTTGTATTTTATTGTAATATGGCATTAGAAATACATACAACCATCTACATCCAATACATTCTACCATCAACCTCTACTTTTTAATAGCGATTTTAATTTATATAGCGAAACAACGTTTGCGTTGTCAGCTAGTAACTAAATATAGAAATGTAGTTTATATATGATATCTAGACAAAAAAAAACAAACTAATAAAAAAAATATCTCAGGACAAATCACACAGAGCCATCTAGACGCGAGTTACGCTAGCTAAAACTTGTTATGGGTACTAGATAACTGATACAAATACATAGATATTTTTTTTCGTAAATACATACATATTATACATAGAAAACACCCAGACCGATACAAACAATCATACTCATGAATATAAATGTGTGCCGTGCGAGGAAACGAACCCGCGACCATCGAACGTAAAGCGGTATGCTAGACCGCTAGACCACCGAGGTCGTCAATAAATATATCTGTTCGAAATGATTAAATTGGTAATATGTAGGTCATATACTAAAGGAAATACATTTTTTTATAAATAACACGTAGGAAACACTTTTACCTATATGCAGACATATTCATGAAGGATCAGAAGGTAAGAGTGTAAATGTTGTGAATATTAAATATGTTTTTTTATTGAAATGAAAAAAAAAACTTTTATACTACAATGGTGGATCAACATAATGCCCATCTGATGGTAAACGGTCACCGTAGCCTATGGACGCCTGAAACACCAGGGGTGTTACGTGCGCTTTGCCGACCCTTAATATAGGTTATATCTTAAAAACCCTATGCTGTAGTGTCTAGTCCTATCCCTAGATCCTAGGATAGCACTATCTCTACCCTAAAAGGTCCCAGTCCTATCTGTGACTGTAAATCTTATTAACATTAAAACGCGAAAGTTTGAGCGTAGATGGATGTATGTTACTCTTTCATGCAAAAACTACTGAACGAATTTTGATAAAACTTTACAGTAACATAGCTTATACATCAGAATAACACGTAGGCTATAATCTGAAAGATATTATATAAATTGGGCGAAATATAACGATAAATGTTAAGAAGTGTAATGCAGAAGAATGTGGGTAGCTAGTAATTCATAAAATAACCTATGCAATATAGAAATCTTTAAAAAAGCTTATTTCTTCTTAAAATGCCGGGAACTCACTTGCAATTGTTCTGGTGTTGTTTGTCATGGTATGGGCATATCTTATAAAATTCTGGTGTCACAATTTTCGTTCCCATACTCCTCCGAAACGGCTTGACCGATTCACATGAAATTTTGTGAGCGTATTGAGTAGGTCTGAGAATCGGCCAACATCTATTTTTCATCCCCCTAAATGTTAGGGGTAGTCCACCCCTAAATTATTTTTTATTTTAAGGCAAAACAACGTTTGCCGGGACAGCTAGTAATGTATAGGAATGAAGAGACAATTTTTAAGAAAGTGTTAAATATAAATGTGGATTGATTAGTTATGAAGGAAGGAGCAAAGGAAGGGCGAAAAAGACATGGCAACCAAACTACGACTGCACCCAACAGTCAACACTAGGCTTCCAAGCTATATCTGAGCTGTATTCAGTGTCTGATGATGCCTAGTTCAGAGGAGAAACATGTCGCCATATGGGTGTAGATGTAATAACGGTCGTAATGGTAGTAAAGTTTCCGAACTGAATATTTGTGATCTCTGACATGGCTAATTGTTGTATAATTAAACAAAATAATAATAATTTCAAGATATTCCACACAGCGCCATCTAGACTATATTGTTTTTCGTAAATACAGACATATTATACATTGATTGACGACCTCGGTGGTCTAGCGGTCTAGCATACCGCTTTACGACCGATGGTCGCGGGTTCGATTCCTCGCACGACACAAACATTTGTATTCATGAGTATGATTGTTTGTATCGGTCTGGGTATTTTCTATGTATAATATGTATGTATTTACGAAAAAAAAATTATCTATGTATTTATATCAGTTGTCTAGGACCCATAACACAAGCTTTAGCTAGCTTAACTTGGGTCTAGATGGCGCTGTGTGAATTGTCCTGAGATTATTATTATTATTATAACACACAGACCGATACAAACATACTCATCAATACAAATGTTTGTGTCGTGCGAGGAATCGAACCCGCGATAATCGTTAGTAAGGTGTGCTACCGAGTCCGTCAAGATATTATAAATCCATTAAGTAGTGAATTAATTATTGTTTACTAATATTTTTATATTTGTACTGAATAGAAGTTGGGCAGATCGTCGCAAGTATACGAAGGCGCGCAAGACGTTGCAGTACCCCACACTGCCCGAGGGTACCAAGGTCATCACCATCCCTGCACCGATCACTAATGGACAAGAGAATAGAGGTAAGACCACCAATCCAACAGGAAATAACCAGCATAATAATCCTGGACTAATCCAGACAAACTCAGGACAATCTAGTCCCAAGGTAGGCAGAGCTTGTATTATTGATCTTGTATCATAGAGAGACAGGGTTTATTAGTTATTAATAATAATAATAAACCCTGGACAATTAATACAGTGCCATCTAGACCCACGGTAAGTAGAACTTGTGTTATGGTGACTAGACAACTGATATTTATTTTACTAATTATACGTATAAATAATGGCCGCGTCAAATTTAAAACAAGTGTGAAGAAAGGTGCACCGATATAGCAGAATATTATATTAACTTATTTATGTCACATGTAAAACAATATAGTATTAAAAAAAGTATAAAAATAGTTCGCAACATCGACCAACCCGTGTAGCACTTTGCTACACTACTGTGTCTTCGTGCAATAGGGTCAGTTTGCGCTGGACCAAAATGTGAAGAAAGGAGATCATGACGACGAGCCAAGAAATAGCAGAATATTATATTGACTTATTTATGTCACATGTAAAAAAATAGATAATAGAAAAAGTATTTTTTTTTTATACTATGATGGTGGCAATCAAGCATACGGCCCATCTGATGGTAAACGGTTACCATAGTCTATGAACTCCTGAAACACCAGCGGTATCACGTGCGCGTTGCCGACTCTTAAGAAACCTTAATATACCCTTCTTGAAAAACCCCATACTGGAGTCTCGTGGGACAGGAAGATCATTCCACAATCTAAGTGTACGCGGGAGGAAACTCCTCTGAAACCGAACAGTGCGGTTGACAGTGAAATAGTTAGCAACATCAAGATTACTTGTATTCCTAATTTAGATTGACAATTTTGCAGGCAAGCCGACCCGCGACTGGGTTATGAACATGAACGGGCGCAGCTATCTCTCAGAGTTCCACGAGTACGTGTGGCGCGCCCTGCAGAAACAACCAGTCTATGAGTTCAAGCAGCTAGGTGCGTACACTCATTAAATAGGCTACCATATATTCACCAACCAACCATAATTTAAGGACTTTCAAAGTTAATACTAGTGTATGGACAGTAACTTTTAGGCTACCATATATTCACTAACTTAAGGACTTTCAAAGTTAATACTAGTGTATGGACAGTAACTTTTAGGCTACCATATATTCACTAACTTAAGGACTTTCAAAATTAATACTAGTGTATGAACTGTAACATTTTATAATTAAAATAAGTAATACAGAGGTGCTAGTAGTAGACGGCGGACGAGGGTGCGTATGGCCCGACGCGGCTAAGACGACTGGCTCTAGCTGTAGCCGTGCGCTGGATAACAAAAGGCTTTAAAAATATCGCTTTTTTTATTATTTAATGGCATTGCGCTCGGTCTTACCTCTTCTGATGGTAAATGATAGCAAGACCTAGGATGTAGCGCGCTTACCCAGAAGATATCTATTCACCATAGACTTGAAGAATCCGGGGTTGTATTTCTCCGGGAACACAAAAGCTGGAAGTGCGTTCCACTCTTAGTGCGTATTAGGAAGGACGATGCGAACCGCTCAGTGCGAATGTGCGGAATTTCCACGACGTACGGATGAAGTCCCAGTATTCGTCGTGAAGTTCGGTAATGCAATATCATTTATAAATACCCAGTGCCGCGCTAGACTGCCTCATAGGTGTATTATATAAAAATAGTTAGGATTGTTCGTGTGTTTGTGGCAGAGAACGCGATGCAGCCGTACCAGGCGACGGTGTACATCGGCGGCATGCAGTACGGCGTCGGGCGCGGCTCCAGCAAGCGGCAGGCCAAGTCCGCCGCCGCCCGCGCCTCCATACACATCCTCATACCGGAGATGAGGGACGACGGCCACCACACGGACACCCCCGCCACCCACCACGCCCCCGCCGCCCCCGCCACCCACGCCGCCCCCGCGCCCGACACCGACCTGGTACGTACTGGTACACTACACACGCCCGACACCGACCTGGTACGTACTGGTACACTACACACGCCCGACACCGACCTGGTACGTACTGGTACACTACACACGCCCGACACCGACCTGGTACGTACTGGTACACTACACACGCCCGACACCGACCTGGTACGTACTGGTACACTACACACGCCCGACACCTGCGACCCCCACTACCCCCGTGACCCACGCGACCCACGCGACCCACGCGACCCCCCGCGACCCCGCCCCGACACCGACCTAGTATGTAAAAACACTATACACGCCCGCCACCTGGCGACCCCCACGACCCACGCAGTTAGATTTCCCGCACAGTCCAAAATTTATATTCATGAGTATAATTATTTGTATATGTGTTATGGGTGTTTTCTATCTATATTATGTATGTATTAACAAAAAAGATGAAGAAATTGATATCAGTTGTCTATTACTCATGACACGAGCTCTGCTTACCTTGGGACTGGTTTGATGAATTGTCCAGTGATTATATTTTTTTTTTGTTCGGTTGTGACGTGCAGTTTTTCGACGAGGTGGAAATCGAGGACCCTCGGATCACGGAGATATGCGTGGCGACCTGTGAGCCCTCCCCGCATGACATACTCAGGACTTGTCTGCTGAGGAACTTCGGGGCCGGCGAGCGGCACATTCACACCGAGGTGAGTGTTGGAGAAAATACTCCAGTTAAGGCTACCCTGGACTCCTTATCTCGCTCCATTATCCACGTGATGTTCTCACTTTCTTTCTCTTAAGTGGTGCGCGAGACTATGTTGTACTAACATAGGTAATGGGATAGAAGGTACCTCCAAGGTATCCCGACGAAGCACCTATTGCAGGAGTCGCGGAATCGCAATGTTAGTCACCGCACCGCACCTCCAGCGGTGTCGGTCCGGTTCAATTTGCGGGGGCCCCTTCGCTTTTATTTTGGTCCACACTGCCTCCCCCGCCCCTCCACTCTCTTGAGAAGGCCTCAAGGGGGGCACCACCTCCTCGGGCTTTTCTTGGAGATGCGAACGTCCCCTCACCTCAGATCACTGTGGATGGAGCCGCCCTTATGCGATGTCTGTCCTGCTCGTCCCGCTCTCATTGATGGCGACTTTAGGCCCCGACTGTATGTCAACACAAAGAGGGACCAACCCTCCACCATCCACTGAGTAAAAACAACATATGCATGATGATTAGGGCCCTCACAGGACACTGCAAATTAAACAAGCATATGGCTAAACTAGGCCTATGCACCACAAGAATCTGCAGATTCTGCCAAATTAAAGAGGAAACGCCACTACACATCCTATGTGGTTGTAGCCCACTCATGCATAAACGAAATATCTCCTTTGGAAAGTTTACACTCTTTCCCGAGGAGATAAAAACCATCGCTCTTAGCGAACTTTGAAAAAGGGCGAGCACAATAGATCTATGTAGGTCGCAGTGCTACAGGTGCTACAAACATCTGACAATACTGATCTGACCTCATGCTCATCGTATCATCCCCCACTGGTACCCCGCCAGCGTAAACCGTTACGCAGGCGGCGGCTCCACTCCATTATCATCCATAAAAAAAACTGATAATAGCCCAAACAACCCAAAAATAAACCCCCCACCAGCCCATAGCCAAGCCAACCTCGCGATAATACTGGCCGAATCTGCGGAGAATGCGGGCTGAAGAGCAGATATTCTCTTGACCCTTGCACATTATTTCTACTCCTGTCCCCTCCGATCGCTTTCTCCTCTTCTGGGGCAGCGGACGAATCATTGACGGCTTCGGTGCCGGGCAGAACTAATTAAGCGGCGTCCTCTCTTCTTGAACGCGTGCTCTCGTACTCGCTCCACCTCCGATGCCACTGATGCGCGAACTCCCGCAGCCTCCTAAAGTTCTCCTCCGAAAACATCACGTCCGGGACACTGCGACGTGAAAAGGGGGAGACAGAATTATTTTTTAATTGAGAGATTTTGGGATATCGTCAGCAGTACGACCTGCATAGATCTATTGATATTATGTTAAAGATATTCTTAGGAGCGATGGTTTTTATCTCCTCAGGAAAGAGTGTAAACTTTCCAAAGGAGATATTACGTTTATGCATGAGTGGGCTACAACCACATAGGATGTGTAGTGGCGTTTCCTCTTCAGCTTGGCAAAATCTGCTGATAGTGTTGAGCTGGGATATAGAAACCAGCTCTAATATGGTAATCTGAGCTTATTGCAATGGGAATAGGGTTTATTTTAAACAGTATGTATCATTAAAAAATTAATAGAAAACCTACAAGGTATGTAATTATGTATGGCGAACTGTGGAACGCTTTCATCGCTAGTTCTTTGTATAAGTCAGTACAGCTAACAGAAAATCAATGTTAATTATTACGATCATAATCTGAAAATAAATTTCGATAAAAATTAATAATAAATAGCCTAGCAAAACAATAACAAACACAACGCCATCTAGTTACAAGCTACTAAGCGGAGCTTGTGTTATGGGTAACTGGTAACACACTAAACAATAAATAAATAACCCTGAACAATTAATATAGCAGTAAGCAGAGCTTTGTTATGGGTACTCGACAAATGATATAAGTACTTAGGTACATATATATTTTTGTAAATACATACATTATATACCTACATACAAAACACCCAGACCGATACAAACAAACATTTGAATACAAATGTTCAAGTAAAATAAGAGTTATATAATGAGTTTCTTGCCAGTTCTTAGTTCTTCTCAACTGGATCTGTATACTGAACTGAATTTTTTATATTATTCATTTATTTTCATAAGCGGCTAAAATTATTTTTGAATTTAAATCTGAACCCGAGACCATCGGAAGTAAAACTATGTGCTAAACCGCTAGACCACTAGGGATATTATAAACAATCAATGTACTCGACATTGATGTTTTCTAATGCTGGTTTAATTAGTACATTTTTTTTTTCTTAAGTTCAATTTTTTTTGCAGATGAAGAAACTGGAGTTCCAAAAGATCGAGTTGACAATGAAAGTCGGGAAACATACAGCTACCGTCGTTTGTAAGAATAAGAAGACGGCGAAGCAGCGTGCCTCGCAGTCCATACTGCAGGTGAGAGTTTTTATTAAAAATAATTAATTTATATTTTCATATATACAGTTAGATCATCACTATGACTGATTTCCTCTTATTAATTGTTTAACCAGTTAGTTAATAATATTTTTTCTATTTGATCATTTAATTGAATTAGTGCTAATTGGTAGTTTGTATTCACGCACTTAAACTTCAAAATGTAAAGTAACAATCAAATTATTTAAAAGAATAATACGCAAATTCTTGCTCGTTCGTCTTGATGAGACACTCGTTCGATGAGACAGCTTCCGAATGAGCGGTAGATTAAAAACAAATGTGATGACTATCAAAACTGCTTCAATAAAAGTTTATTTGAATAAATGATTTTCTATTCTATTCATGGTAATAGGTCCAGATAATAATATTCTTGGCAACTGATTAATTGCCACAATTTATGGGCATGCAAATTTTATTTCCTCGCATGCCCACGGTCAGGGTGATTTCTATATATAATATGTATATATTTACAAAAAAATATATCTATGTATTTGTATCAGTTATCTAGTACCCATAAAATAAGCTTTAACTAACTTAACTTGGGTCTAGATAGCGCTGTGTGAATTGTCCTGATATTATTATTATGTTAAAATAGAGGATAGATCCATATTATTTGTCTATAGTCTTACTGAATGTTAAATTCATTATGGTCGAAGTTAAACCAGTGGGCGACCACTAGTCCGTAACTTACGTATAACTTATAAATCCATAAACCATGTTTATGGTTTTTTTTTCTATGACGTTGCAGTTACTGCACCCTCACGTGCGCACATGGGGCTCCCTGCTGCGGCTGTACGGCTCCCGCTCCGTGAAGAGCTGCAAGGAGAAGAAGCTCGAGGAGCAGGAGATCACGCTACTTCAGGACAAGGCACGCCACAACGAGCCCAACTACGCCGTCATCGAGAAACTTCGCCACGAGATGAGGAAGCTGCGGGAGAGAGACGAAGCCGTCGTGCCCATAGGGACGCTGCTGCTCAAGGACGAGCTGCCCACGCACTCGGGGGCCAACCTCGACAACGTGGATCTATGAGACCACAACCAGCACAACCACGCCGTCATCGAGATGCTGCGCCACGAGATGAGGAAGCTGCGGGAGCGGGAGCAAGCCGGGTCATTGAAACCAGTTATGTAGCCCTAATGAGTTCTTCAAGGCCTCGATAACTAACAGTAAGAGTGTATAATAATGTACAAAGTCAAATAAGCTGAGTAACTGAAGGGGCGCGTCCTGGAAGTAGCTCGGGAACGCCGCTTCATTATTATTATGTTCAAATTGAAGATATTCATATTACACGGGTTTTAACCAGACCCCAACTGGGTATGAATTAACCGGATTGCTATACGAGCAGTTTGTTATTGACGGTAAACCGGATTTTCGGTTTTGACGATGATTATTGCAACAGTGGTTTAAATAAATAGTCACAATTATATTTGATACATTAACTTATATAGGGTGCTACCTAATGATCTGTTTAACGAGCATTTTATTATTACGATAAAGACGAAATTTCATATTCCGACTGACATTAATTAATTAATATCTTAAATATAAAATTCTCGTGTCACAGTTTTCGTTCCCATACTCCTCCGAAACGGTTTGACCGATTCTCATGAAATTTTGTGAGCGTATTGAGTAGGTCTGAGAATCGGCCAACATCTATTTTTCATCCCCCTAAATGTTAGGGGTAGTCCTCCCGTAATTTTTTTTTTATTTTAAGGCAAAACAACGTTTGCCGGGACAGCTAGTTATATATAAAATTCTCGTGTCACAATGTCAGTTACCATACTCCTCTGAAACGGCTTGACCGATTTTTATGAAATTTTCTATGCATATTATACTCCAGACTTACGCGATAGGTTGGTATTCAGATATTATATTCACCGTCGACAGTAAATTCTTCCCTACACACTAGAACGTAAGTGGTCTCGGACAGTGCGGTTTCAGAGGAGCTACCTCCCGCGTATACTTACATTGTGGAATGAACTACCTGCCGAGGTTTTCTCTACGTACTTCCTTAATATGCTACAGCATGGGGTTCTTTAATAAGTGTATATTAAGGTTTCTTAAGGGTTAACCGCCACTTGACATCTCTGATGTTTCAGGTGTCCATAGACTATGGTAACTGTTTATCATCAGATGAGCCGTATGCTTGATTAACCACCATCGTGGTATAATATATATACCTATATATATACTAACTATCCCGCCAAACGTTGTTTTGCCATATAAATTAATAACGCTTTAAAAAAATAGGGGCTGGTGATAGAAAGGTGAAAATTTAAGGTTGTATGTATTTTTCAATCCTAAATAATAATAAAATGAAAATAAAATCGAAAAAATAAAAAATAAATATTTAGGGGCGGATATCCTTTAGCACTTAGGGGTATGAAAAATAGATAGTAGCCGATTCTCAACCTTCTGAATATGCATATAAAATTTCATAAAAATCGATCAAGCCGTTTGGGAGGAGTATGGTAACTAACATTATGACACGAGAATTTTATATATGCTATAATATAGAAATTGATGGGCTGAATCGACACACGTTTTCCATAGTTTTTTTTATACCACGTAGGTGGCAAACACGCATACGGCCCATCTGATGGTAAACGGTTACTGTAGCCTATGGACGCCTGAAACACCAGGGGTGTCATGTGCGCGTTGCCCACCCTTAAGAATATACAGTCGTTCAGCCAAGAATAGATATTTATTTTTAATACTTATTACGTACATAGCCTAAAGAAAACAATAAATTAGAATATTTAGTTGTCATAAACTGAACTCTGAGTAAATAGCCTTAAGAACTAAATTTGATTATCACCTAATTTGTAACTTAGGTTATTACTGTATATGGTATAAAGAAAAAACGTGTAAATATTATTTCTAAATCAACATAATTAGTATTTTTATAACTATGTACTTATAGGAATTTTATTAAATTTCCATACATAAATTTAAAAGTATTAGTGCTTTAAGAATAATATACATACAACAATAAATACATATATATGAATAGGTATCAGAGGCGTAGCTACCGGCGTATATGTCGTATCAATTATACGGGGCCCCCGGGCTACGGGGACCCCCAACCTGCATAAGCAAAAATTAAATTCCCTTTATAAAAAAAAGAAATAACTTTTTTTTACTTATGTCATTTGTGAAAACAAATGACGAAAGTAAAAAAAGTAATTTCTTTTTTTTTTTAATATTAATATTATTATTTAATAAATTAGTTTGCCGAAAAAAAGGCAAGGAGAGTGTACATTTAATTTGAATTGTTTGGAAAAAGTGACAGTTTATCTCTATTACGGTGAAAAAATATTTCATTTAAGTTTATGCATTTTTTTTCTTTAGTTAGAAATCTTTACCCTTCGTAAGGGCCCCCAATTTTTTTTATACGGGGCCCCGCTAAGGTACGCTACGCTTCTGATAGGTATGCATATAAACCAGGTATGTTAGGGAGCTGCGTAACGGTAACCGAAACTAACGGATAATCCGAAATAATTTCACATCCGTATCCGTATCCGGTATAATAATCATTCCTATATCCGAAACCTATCCGTATCCGAAATTTCATATCCATAACATCCCTGATATAAACCGTATTTTATAGTTTAATGCGATAAATTATTACAATGCAGTAGTACTTAAGCACTGTAACAAATACGACTTATCGAAATTAAATTAAGGGTATAAAAAATATATTTTCACTTGTAATATAGTTATTATACGATAAGGCAAATGATACGAAACTAGTAATGAACGCAACAAATAAATACAAAAACAAAATGGCGACTACTGAATCACACGCGCCCTATAAATAATGACGCAGAATAATATTTATGTACGAACTATTTATTTATTTATGTATACATAAATAAATATCAAATAATTTAGAAAAAAAATCAAGTCAAATCAAAATCAAAGTGAAGTGGCGCCAGTTGTATTTTTTCAAACGAGTTTCAATCTTATTTTGTTTTCAATAAGGATAAAATTAGTTAAAAGGAAGTCACAGTTTTGCGGGCACAGATCTGTGACAAGACGGCAATACGGTTTAAGAGGGGTGCACAGATCTGTGTCACACGTTAAAAATCAACGTTCAAAGGGTTTCAGAAACATCACGTGCACCATAAATGGAATTAGCAGCAATAGACATATAAACAGTACAATATTTATGTACGAACTATTAAAATCAATTATATATAAAAAAATATTAAATTTGATTTCGTGATAATACATAATAGGTTTGTAAGTATAGATGTTTGTTACTCTTTCACGCAAAGACTACTGAATGGATTTTGATGAAACTACAGTAATATAGCTTATGCATCAGAATAATAGTTAGGCTATATTTTTTATTGAAATGTAATGCGAGTGAAACAGCAAGTAATATATCAATCATATACATATTTCTCAATATATCTATTATAATCTATTGATGACATTAAGTAGTCACTTTTGAATTTTTGTATTTACTTTTTGTTTCTATCATCGTGGTATTGTAACTCGTATTTGTGAATATAAATATATTTAAGGCACATAATAAAGTGATTTTAGAATTTATTCCCTATACTATTGGTTGCATACAAGCTCGCAACTAACTATATATATTTGAAATGAGCTAATTTAGCCGCTTCATTTAATAGTAATTACGACATCTTTAAAATATATAGTTTATGACTGTATGTCATATAAACTATATTAAATTTAATGTGATATCACATATTTAGCGGAGCTACCAACAATACCTCATTTGTGGAGTTAAAAATGTAACGTTAGCTTTAAAAGTATGGGGGAACATATGAAAAACATATAAACTGCGGCGAAGCATTATCATTTTCAATAGTTGAAATGCTTCTATGCTTCGCCGCAGTCGAATAACTATACTGCATTCGCTACTAAATCTGTCAGTTGTCAAAATTAATTGAGGAGATTCGAATCTAAAGTGTTGATGTACCAAACTGAAATGTTAATCATATAATGTATATGTGATTTAAATTTTAGTGAGAATAGATTTTGATGGTAAAAATAAACTATTTGGAAACATCCAAAGCAATATATAAATGTTATTTTTATAGTAATAGATGTATAACATGTTCTGTGATTGACATTTCATTTTGTGTTTAATTGAATTTGTATTTGAAAATGAACGGAAAGAAAAAGTTACGAGGAATCCACGCGATATTAGTGTTGGGGATTATCGATATCTATATATCGATGTACTATATACATTGTACCGAACAATCAAAATATCTTTATTCGTGTAGGTCTATTACAGACTTATGATATGTCATATCTACCGTCAGTTCGGAGTGCTTTCAACCTAAGAACTGATAAGAAACTCAGCTCTTATTCTTTTAAAGTGAGTTTCTACATGTTTAAAAATAAAGATTCATTTTTTAAAGAATAGATAGCATATGATATTGCAATTTTGTGAAAAGGATTTAATAGAATTTAAAAAAGTGACCGTAACCCGAACAGATCTTTAAAAAAGCGAAGTCACATTTAAGGTAAAGAAATTAATAAGATATAAAAGAAAATCTGTTGCTTTGTTCACATTAAGAGGCCTAGAATGTATCGATATTCAAATATTTTATAGGGACTAAAACATCAATGTTTTTTTTCTCGATTAATATCTACCATCCCTAAAAAGAACAGGCTATACTGCGTGCGCTGTAGGATGGTTCGGGTGACAATTACTAATTTTACATTTAACAATAGCTACATTTAAGTTAATACAGTTAATATTGATTTAATATATCACGAATGTGGTACAGCTGAAATACTAAGTCATAATTTGTAAATCGCAGCAACTTTTAAGAGTGAAACGAATCGTTGATGGAACTGTCACCTACACCATGCTATACCGCACATGGTGTAATACAACAGTTAAATTTTATAAGAAACTATGTAATAAAAGTTTTATTACGTCATGAATATCGGTAATTGTTTGCATAGATTCATTTAGAAAGTTTTGTCTACATGTGCATGCCCCCCTCACTTGAAAAGATTGTATGATAATGTGCAAGCTCTTTATATTTTAGTTTAAAACTCAACCTTAATGTCCGTGTAATAAAATGCAATAAGAGGCATGATATCGTTGTCCTCAGGAATGATAACGCATGAGCGGTATCACGGGCGTGACGTGATAACGTGATATCCGTAGTACCTACTGCTCATGTACATCAGTAACTGCTTACAAC